GGAGGCCACAAATCTCCAGTTCCAGCTTTGTAATTGCTGTTGTTTAATAAAACTATTATGTCCTAAAAAAATACATTCAAATCAAAGAACACTACACAGAAAGACGTATTATTATTATTAGTATTATTATTATTATTATTAAGACGTATTAAGTTAAAATGAAGACAAAGCTCTTTGTGTTCTCATAAGAACTGGCAACTGAAGCTCTTTGGCATTCCCAAAAAGCAATATTTGTGCTTTTTGATTATGGTGTAGCTGAAGACACATTTTATTTGGTATTTTAGAACTCTGTCTCTTTGATTATTGGAGATGTCTATAAACTAGATGTTTTCAAATGTATATTACGTATTCTTGTGCATGTCCACACACTTTGATGAACTTTTGGTGGAGTTCTGTGGCTGTTTTTGTGGTTCAGTCCAAAAAACCCATATTTACTATTAAGGTTGATCTTAATGTTACAGCATGCAGTGATATCTTAGATAATAGTTTTCCAATTTGGTGCAAAAGAACCTGACTGGTCTGCCCTGACCTCAACCCCATCCAACACATTGCCTACAAGCCAGGCCTCCCAACATCTGCAGACGACCTCACTTATGCTCTTGTGGCTGAATGGGAGAACAAAATCTTGAAAAAAAAGTCTGCCCAGGTTGCAGGTCACATATTGGTGTAATTTTCAGGTACTTCATACTTTTGACGAAGAAATTTAAACAAAGAGAGACATACGAATGAATGCAGAAATTATAAAAACTACCTCACACATTACAAATAAAAATCCCCACAACACACAAAGGTGCAGCTCAGTCCTGCTCAGCAACTCACATAATTATGTTTTACATAAATTTTAAGGGAAAAAGAAAGAGATGGAAGGAGAAAGAGAGTGTGAAGAGGTTGATGCTATACTCATTTTCATCCTCTGGGGTACAGAGCAGCACATCTTTTATCATCAGTTGGCAGATTATCAAAGAAAACATCCACCATGGAGAATGTTTTCATCTGTCTGTTCTCGTCTCATCCGTACTGTAGATCAACACTCTGTCGTATGTCAATCTATTGAACATGTTAATTTCTTTTAATGAAAATATTTTTAAAGATCATGTTAAATTCATGTTAAATTCTTTTTATGTGTCCTAATAAATAATTGTAAATCAGCGTGTGTTTGTGTTAACATGTCGTCAGTGTTTGAATAAAAGGCTGTGTTGGGTATGTTGTGCTGAACCAAATTATGAGTCTACACTGCCATCAGCTGATCATCATTGTACTGCAGCCTACATATCCTTTTCACTGAAATGGTGCTTAAAAATGGAAAGGGCTTTAAAAAATGTAAACAGTTGACTTTTAGTTTGCTCCTGAACAAACAAGATGTGACTACAAACTCCAAAAGAAGAACAAAAATATTAGAGCAGATAACAGTGCACACTTTATTAAGTTGTGTGACAGCAAAGCTCATTACACATAAATACTAACTCCTGTCTCATTGTCAGAGAATTCAGGGCACATAGATTTCAGATATTTCAGAAGAATTCATGAGAGCAGCTCATCCTCTATGGCTGAATGCCGCCCCCTTTGTCCCAGCCCCAGGTCAGGAAACCTTTCCCTCTCTGACTCAACCACTGATGTCCCACAGCCTCCCAGTCAACTATCTGTATTTTCAGGGGAGACAGGAAACTCGAGGAATTTAAGGATGGGCATGTTTCTCCTGTCTGGAGGAGCTTTGTGTTGCACTGTCTTTCAGTTTGCTGCTCTCTGACGTCCCACTGCAGAGAAGAGACACTCTGATTTGACAAATACATACCCTCTCACTCTCTGTCTCCGAACAATGATGACCTACTGTCTCTGAGTCAACATCCTTACCAAGATGCCGCCTGTTGAAAGTGTCAGCAGCTCCAGAAAACAAGCAGTTTTGTGAGATCACGATTCTGCATGTAGGCGGATCGTTATTTATAGCAACTGGAGAAATTCTTGGGTAAATACAAATACAAGCAGTCTGTCATCCGCTAAGAAGTCATGACTCCCAAACTCTTTTCTCGCTGCTAACATACGTACATGTAGTATATCGTTGTTGCAGCATAATTTTATCATGTAATTCAGATATAAAATCATGATCTGGATTGACCAAAGTAACAGCACCCTAGCCCTCAGATACACAAATGTTTAGAGTAAAAACTACAATATTTCATTCTAAAATGGTAGAATGTACATTCACCCAAGTACTGTACTTATATACTGGTATTGGTACTTGACTATTTAAATTTTCTGCTACTTTGTACATTCACTTACTACATTTGATGGCTATATATTGTACATTTTGTCTCTTCTTTTGCACAGTGTGATGCATTATTAAATTGAATTCAGCTCCACTTGGCCACTTGCTGCTTTTATTTAAGTAAAGGATCTGAATACTGTACATGTAGCTAACAAGAGTAAAGTTGAGCTAAAAGTAAAATTCTTCTGTCTCATTAAAAATTTTGACCAAATATTTAAGTTTTCCCCCAAAAGCAAAATTCACATTTATCTGACACTTTTATCCAAAACAACTTGCAATTGCTATACATGTCAGAGGTCATACACCTCTGGAGCAACTAGGGGTTAAGTGTCTTGCTCCAGGAAACTATGGTTGATATCTCACAGTGGGAATTGAACCCAGATCTCCCACACCAAAGGCAAGCATCTCATCTATGCGCCATCACCACCCCATGAAACAACTGCATTTCAATGAATTAACAAAATATTTCCATGTGATGACTTCCTTCACCAAGAGTTTAAATTTTGAATGTTATATTTGCACATTTTGTAAGGCTGATATTGAATCATCATCACTCTATTTTTTCTGCAATCTGCCCCTGCTGGCTGTGCTCAAAAAACAAAATCTCAACTTTCCAATATAGTCACTGTTTTTGGAATTTCTTTGCAGGACAAAAAGATTGAACACCTTATAAACAGTTTGATTTAGCTGGCAACATTTTAATTACATTTCATTTCATTTATTTTATCATTGTCATTATTATTTTATTTATTCATTTTGATTGCATTACTTCCTAATTTACGGTAAATTATTAGTGTTTTTCAGTAGGTGGCACTCAAGTTCTCAGCTGTGTTCAGCTAATGCATTCTACAAATGCCTGTTTGAACATTCAAAAAAGAAAAAAATCATAGGAACTACAACACAGTAATTAAAAATGAATGTTTGACTAAAACCTATAATAAAATAAAATTATTGGTAGATTAAGAATTCTCAAGTACTCGAATAAATGTACTTTGTTACATTAATTATGGTTAGCAACTTATTATCTAAAGTAAATATCTGGAAGTGGAACTGACTTGTGAACTGTAGTTTTTAAAAAAAAAGATGAATAGCCTACTTAGGAGTATCAGATGTAGTATTTCTTACCACCAAGTATCACTAATCATCAACCATACAGAAAACAGATTTAATGTGTACTACTATTGTATTTTAAAGTTTTGTGACATCTGTAAGTTTTTAGGATATTTCGTTATATCATTAACCATATTAATCATCTTTTTATAAATGATCTCAGTACAAGCGTGATGTTGCTGCAGCGCCCCCTTGTGGTCACGCGGATTCTGTGCGCTGCGGTTTCCAAGGGAGGAACCAAATCAGAGGAGCAGGTGAAGTGAACTGATGGTGAAAGAGACAGGTCGACACCGGAAACTACGCGCGCTAATCTTCGAAATAAAAGCATAAAAATCACCTTTGTGAGAGCAACAAAAATTCTAAATATTGGAGTCGTTGGATTATATGTTGCGTAAAACTACAGCCTATTTGTTAATAAAATATTGTAATGTTTTCCTTTGGATTATGATGCAAAAATATAGGACTGAAGGAAATGTATCAGAAATGGAAACCATGATTGTTATATAAACTATGTTAAGTTAAAGATTATGTTCTTTCAAAGCTTTGTGTTAGCCTAGATGCAGAAATGCACAAATAAAGACTATTATTTGTTATATCTACACAGTGTTGGCATATAAAGTGTATATAGCAGTGTTGGTGCTTTCAGAACCTGAACACGCTACTGCTTTCATCAATTCCCCTCTTTGTCTCTTTTTGGAGATGCTCCTTCTTCTTCCTCATAACTGTCGTTGCTGTAATGTGTTCATATTTTTAGTTATAGTTGTGGTTGTGACTAAACGTGCTGTCACATAAATGAATACAGACCAAAATTTGACCTCCATTTCCTCTGCATCAGCGCACATGGCGACCGAGCACACCCTCATGGTCAAAGGTGAACAAAGGTGAACTTTGACCTGTGAACTACATCAGAAATGTGACATCACCTTTATATACAGTCTATGTGTCCATCCTTTTCAGGGCAATTTCGTGGGACAGAAATGTTATGTTACTATACCTTAATGAAATACTGTGGTCATGTTACAATAGTCTATGGTAAGGTTTGGTAAATCCACCTGTTCAGAGGTGTGTGGGCTACATCATACCTATATGCAACATTACGCCTCAGTTCACGGGGGAAAACACTGTGCCCCTCACTTAAAAAGTGCTATAAAAAGAAATGAATATGTATAAATAAATAATATTACCAACATTTTGTTACCATGCTGAGAAACATGGCCTATATATTTTATTTAAGTTTATTTCCAGTAGTGTTTTCATTTAAATTGCTTGTATAGTTGCATGAATGAAAATTATAATTTTGTTCTATCTGAATGACCAAAATTTAATTTTAATTTTACATGGTGCTTATTTTTCCCCTTCAAGCTCTTATATATGTGACTAGAATTTCTATGGTTCAAAAGTAGGCTACTGATTGGGTGTTTAAAATAGTCGAGGCCTGCAATCACACTGAAATGCATTTATTTTCAAGCATTTACATCCAAGTATTCACAACATTACTTCACAAGTTAATTTTCCTCAGTAAATGGGTCTTTATGAGCTGTCCAGGAAAAGCTGCCTGCTCACCAAGGCGGATTTTATTTTGAATTTGCAAACCGGAAACACGTTTCAAACGCAGCAGTGAGCTGTCTGTCCGGAGATGAGCGCACACCGGTGCCGGCTGCAGGCGTGCAGACTGAACCGTTTATCACCGTTCACTGAACTCGGTCTTTGTCATGTTTAAAACCCGGAATACTCTTCTAACTGTGTGACTGATTTTAACCGTGAAGATGTTGACAGACATGACTGTAGAGGAAGAATTTGAGATCAAGGAGGAGGAACCGTGGTACGACAAGCGAGACCTTGAACATGGTACAATTCAATTTCCTTTCGCTCTTTGTCTCTGAAGCCTTAAAATGAAGGACCATATTGATCTTTTTTATAGTAAAAATAAGGAGATTTCAGCTGTAACATGGGGAAATATAGGACATTTAATAAATGTATTACATTACAAATTCACAATTAAGACCTGCAGGTGCAAAGGTCCAATTAAGTAGGAATTTCTGTGTGATTTTCTGACCCTGTAATATATTTTCTTTTCAGTCAGGATGTTTTATTGGGTCTACAAGCCGTTTTAGATGAAGCACCTTGACAGGCTGCAGGGAAAGGCAAGAGTCAGCAGGACACTCACATATGCGGCAAAGTGAAAAAAAACAAAAAAGCTCTGTCTGAAATGAAGAAGTGGCTTTGACTTCCTTTCGTCCGTTATGTCTTAATGCATACCTTTACACTCAAGCTGGGTTTTCCTTCTAATGTTTCATCCTTTCATCCCAGTTGTGTCATCTTTACTATTTGTTTTGTGATTTATTGATGGAGCAAATAATAGGAGTCAGGTAAATTAATAGAAATAACCGGCAGTAGACTATTTTTATATCATTATTCCTCAATGAAAGATCATGTATATTCAGTTTGTAAAGGTGGATTTAACCCTGTGGCACGAATTTATTAAAAGTGGGTTACTGGACTCCTGCCAACCGCCACAAAACCTCTCAAAGCTGCTTGTAAGGTCCCCATGTGTTCATCAGTGAGCCTAACACTATGAGTGCTGAAGCAGTGGTGGTTCCTCTCTCCATCTCCCCTGCAGACCTGCAGCTGGCAGCCGAGCTTGGTAAGACTCTTCTGGAGCGAAACAGGGAGCTGGAGCAAGGGCTGCAGCAGATGTACTCCACCAACAGGGAACAACTCCAGGAGATTGAGGTACAGAGCTTTCTGTCAACCGGCACACTTTATGTCTTTATAATTCACTATTGGCCTGAACAGAGCCTCTGTTAGACTAGGATGTGCTGTAAAGTCTGGCTTGGGAAAAGTGGTCCAACTGTCAGTGAAGTACCTGCTGTGTTCATGAATATGCTGCTGTTCAGAGACCCAATCACTCTTACAGTTTTATTCATTCACCAAAATACCTAAAACAGTGTCTTCTTACTGTTCAACCACCAAAATCCCTGAGACTCTTGCAGCATTTCAGCTTACAAGCATTAGTGAGTGACTTTTTGGACTCTCAGGCATCATACAAGCTGCCCTACCTGCTTGTTGGAGGTTGTTTTGGTTGTGTGCAGCCTGTGAGGACGACCTGCAGACACTACTCAGGGCTAAAAAAAAGTCCACCAACTCCTCTGCATATTTGGGTTAAACTACTGACATATATATGTGTGTGTGTGTATATATATATGTATATATATATATAAACAGACTCAAAACTGATCATCAGTCAAAGACAATTAAAATACAGAGATCCTTGTAGTAAAAATTTCTTAATAAAAACATTATTCATTGACTTTAAAGGCTAATTGTTGACAGAGGAAATAGTAAAATAATGGCAGTAAAGGTATCAGGTCTCTATATGTCTATATGTGGCTTTTGGGCGGTGCAGTAACATTATTATGGAAAGCATGATAACCAATTTAATCATAGTTTGTTATTTGGCAGATAATGAAAATATATAAAATAATAAAATAACAATTACATTAGTGGTGTATATACTTTTGCGAGCTCTGTAACGAAATGAAAGGTATCTAACGAGGCAGAAATGCCATGAAAATAATATTAAAAAAGAGAACTAACCTGTTAAACATTGACATACTGTACAACCAAGTTATTCATTGACTTGTGACTGTTATTGCCCAGTGTAGCTGCTTACAGCAGGTCTGTTGTCACTGTGAGGTTGACGTTCAGTGTTGTTTCTGGGTTTTTTCCAGCAGGCAGATTAGACGACAAAAGTTTAAAAGTGTCCTGGCTTCAGCAGCTGATTAGATAACTTGTTCTTAAAAGAAATTGTTACTTAAAGGAGCCACTGATTGGGCTTTTAGACATATTTAGGTGTTACTGGGAAACAAAAAAACCCCATTAGATTGTCTCTTACATGTCTCCGAGGTTGCACTTTTCTGTATTTCTTTGCTGTTCTACTGGACGAAAAACATTTAATTACCAGCTAAAACAGCTAGTTCATTACTTCTGCTTCTACTACTACTAATAATATAATAATAGGGGTTTGGTTCTCTTAAGACCACAATTTTAATCATTGGAAACTACTGACTCTGCTGGTAGTTTGACCTACTTATTGATTTGTATATATTGTCCACATATTTCATGTTTTGTAGTAAAACATTACATTTAGCCATTCAGATTAATCCAGGAAAGGAGGTTGAAGACATGATTTCCTTTTGTTGTGGTCATCATATGACAACTTTTAAAAGAAAGTCAAACTCCTAAGAAAACTTTTACCTTTTAACCGTCATTTGTTTACAGTTAATTTCTATACTCCTTTTGTCTCTTTTTAAAAAATCCTTTATGTTTATAATGTTCCAGTTTCTTGGGTGTGTCTTTTTATGTGATTGTCATCTTTTGTGAAGCATAATTTTAAATGAATGTGTTTTATATAAATAAAGTTTAATTTGTATTTAATTATAGTGTGATGCATTGTGTCAGTCTAGCTAATAATAATAATTAATACTGGATGTCTCATTATTATAGCCATCGCAGCAGCTGATGTACAACAAACCTTCCTCACTCTGGTATCAACACTTCCTTTGTCTCACCTCTAGTATCTGACGAAGCAAGTGGATCTTCTCAGGCAGGTCAATGACCAGCATGCTAAAGTGTACGAACAGCTAGACATGTCGGCCCGAGAGCTGGAGCAGAGCAATCACAAACTGGTTGTGGACCACAGGACGGCCCAGCAGAAGATCCAGGGGTAAGACTTTGGGATGTGGATTGTCTGTCTTTTGGATTAAAGTATCCCTCATCAGCAGCCTAACAGGGCTGTGTGGTTTATCCGCGCAGGCTGACAGAAACAGTGGAGCAGCTGCAGACGCAGGTGGAGGAGCTGCAACATCAGGTGGAAGAGATGAAGTTGAGTCCATCTCAGCCTCAGAAGTGGCCCCCTCGCAGCGCTCAGAGTGTGTCCTGTCTGAAAGAGCTGCAAAACACACTCAGGTGAGGATACTCGAATACTATACGCAGGGTGCAAACTGCAGGGGAGCCAGGGAGAGCTTGGTTATTTTCATGCATCAATCATATTCATGAATTTACTTTAATAAAGATACCGGCAGGAAAAGCTTTGTACAGCAAGCAGAAAACAACTTCCCACCTCATCTAAGCATGAAAGAGGGTTCTGTGCCATTAATGATACTGACAGCAGGGTCAACAACAACAAAGAAATCAAATGACTTCACACTGAAAAACGTCTTCAGGATGAGCACTACCCACTTAGGTTTACATTAAAATAACTGCTAATTAATGGTCTGACTCCCACAGCTAACAACCAACATAACTAGTAATGTTTCATACATCCTGGTGATTGTGGCAGGAAGTTATTCACCAATTCAATTGAATATTCACCTCAGCTGTCTCTTGTTGATGTATTTTGATGGGATGAGAGCTGAGAGGAGCCGAAAAAAGGCTTCCTTAACCTACCTGGTTAAAAAATCTTAATTGCATTGTCACTGATCCAGAAGCTCTTTGTAAGCTTCAATAAGTGAAGCAGCAAATCCTCCACTGAGCCCTCCTGGCTTTAGCCCTCCCCTCTGCGTGCTAATCCTGCTAGCTGGCAGTTTGCCATGTCTACCTCACCGCAGTCTTAGTCTGAATGTGTAATACTGTGGTCACTTCCTCTTGGCCTGGACTGTCCTGTGGTGTTACAGGTTCATTCACTGCCTGAGTTTAGTCTTGTGTGTGTGATCTTGTTAGGACTGCTCCCTTAAAAACATCCCGGTCAGATGGATGGAAATCTCATTGATAAACACAACAGAAACGGATCTGAACTGAACTCTGTGTTGGTGGATGAGTTTGGAAGGAAGGAGGTCAAAGTCTGAGCTAGAGGAGCATGAACACGTCTCAATATCTCTCTGAGGCTGTGACTGATTCTTTAGCTGATTTCTAATCTACTTGGTTCTACTGATAAGGTCTTGATTTCTTGCTTAGTGTGCTTTTCTTGACCTATCTGCTGTTTCTGATTTCCTCACATCACCCTTTTTCTTTTTTCTGTAGTTAGATCTGTTATCATCTGTGTATTGGTTTGGCTTATTCTAGCAAAAAAGTACTGTACATAAATAAATACACAGATATCTGAGAGAAACAGATACAGGGGGGTATGGGGTATGTATAGGCAAAAAAAGAGAGATAAACTACACACCTTCATATAAATACTCAATGCCATTTACGAGACATTTACCAAAAAGTAGTTTTTGTTCTGTCTATTTAAAGTTCACATTATGTCTCTATGATGTTGTGAGTTTGAACCTGGCTTAGGACCTTTGGTACATGTCGTTATCATCTCTCTCCGCTGTGCATTTCCGGTCACCTTTCACTTTATTTTGCCTTGTTATCAAGTGATAGATAAAATGTTAAAGTCAGTTGTAAAAGAAAAGACAAATTATCAGCGTGCGTGGTATGATAAAGGTAATATAGAGACAAAACACTCTCCACTCAAGGTACACTTGTCGCCTGCTCTGGAGATTTTGATCAACACAGGAAGTTTCCTCAGAACTGTAGATAAACCGTTAATTATTCTGAGCACCTTTTTTGTCCATGTTGGCTTCAAACTTTAACGGAGTGGCTCTATCGCCGGTTATGTCGGTCTGTCAGTCTTCGAAATATCTCAACAGTCTTTGAATATTTTGAACAGACATTCATGTTGCCCTGACCTGATGCTGACGCCATCATCAGGCCAACATTTTATTTTGTCCAATGCTTTGGTTTATGACCAATACCTGTAAAACTAATGACATGGCCAATAAATAGTCCCCCCCATAACACCTGTAAAACCACAACTTGTCACTGTTACTATTACAGATATATAGTGTTAAAGGCCTTTAGAGCAGTGAGGTACAGTAATTCATTATATTGAAAAATCTGAAATTAAGGACAACAAAAAATGTCTGTGTGCAGGTTCAACTATGACGCCGACAAACCCTCAGACGGCCTTGAGTGCTCCACCATGTCGTGGCATGAGGAGGAGCAGGCGTCACTACGACAGTCCCTCCGCACCCTCCAGACTCAGTTTGCCGGGGAGCGCGCTCGGAGGGAACAGTCGGAGCGAGAGGCCGAGCTGCTCGCCGGTGAAAATGCAGCGCTGGAGCAGCAGCTGGCCGGGATGGAGCAGTGCCAGGTATGTCTGACGGATATCTCTCACCTGTGTGTTTCTTTGCACAGCACACATACACAAACAACAAGGTAAGTACGCAATGTGTGATTATTTTTTTTTTTTTTTTTTGTCCTTCTGGAGTTCTTGAATTTTGGTCCCAGCCTTCCCAAATATGAAATGAATAGAGATAATGACAAAAAATGTATATTAATACCGCTTTGATCTTATTTTCATACAGTAGTTTTGGCTATATTCCTATCAGTGGAAAGAGGTGTTGCCCTGGATTTTGTTGTAGTGATGTTGCTACAGTTTCAGATCTCAGCAATAGCTTTGAATACCTATTAGAACTGAAAGAAATTGTGCAAAAATAAGATCCAAGTTGTAATAACCTTTAACTGTTCCTCTTAAGAATAAGAAAATACTTGGTTCATGAAAACCTTTAAAATCACGTTGATAAACTCAAAAATGCATGGTTTGCATTTGACAATTACATGGTCCTGTGTAAGGCTTTCTGAAAGTAAAACAATATTTAAAAGAAATGGAAACATAATTGAAAACAAATAAAATGAAGTAAAACAGCAATGGCAGCACAAGGATACTTTTAATCACACAAAGCATCACTGACTCACTCTTGGTCCTTTCTCTGCTTCAGGCCAGAGTGGCTGAGCTGGAGCGGGAGGCTGAGGAGCTTCGTCAGCTCTGGAAATCCGAGTCCTCCCCAAGATCCACCAGGCCGGACAACATCCACAGCCTGCTGCCTAACTCCATGTTCCTCAACCCGGAGGAGGAGAGTGAAGGGGACGCAGCTGCAGCCAGAAGCCCCTGGGTCCTGAAGCGCTGGGACAGTGAGCGGCTTATGAAGGCAACGCAGTTGCCCGACTCTCCCGACAGCATCTATGACCATGAGTGCTCCTGTGTGCGTCGAGCCGAGGTGGTGAAATATCGCGGGATCTCGCTGCTCAACGAGGTCGACGCCCAGTACAGTGCCTTGCAAGTGAAGTACGACGAGCTGCTGCAGCGCTGCCATCTGGGGCTTCAGGAGGAGGAGCAGGATGGGCAGGACCACAAGTCGGTCCAGGCGGCATCCCTCGCTGCCGCTTGTCCTGCTCTCACAGACATGGAGGACTTTGAGGACGACTTTCACCAGCCAGAGTACAAGGAACTTTTTAGGGAAATTTTCTCCCGCATTCAGAAAACCAAAGAAGACCTGATTCAAAACAGAGGGAGACCCTCAGCTGGTGAAGCGCTGCCTGTTTTGCTTTAGTTGCTTCCAAAGACAAGAAACAAAAAGATCTGCTACAAGATGAAGTATTGTCTTTCAGTTGCAAAGCGACTCTTTGGAAAGACTTCTACAGCAGCACACGAAGCTAACTAACTCCACACATCACTGTATGTTATTTGCCCCAGAAATGGTGATCGGTTAAGAGATTAGAGTGATGCAGGAACAAGAAGGCCTAACACCACCAGCTCATGTCTCAGATGTGGCTCACTTTGCACAGAAACACCAGTGCCTAACTCTGCCGTCTCTACTGTACAATCACTCTACCTCACTTTGCACAGCCCTGCTCACAAACAAGCTCCCGAGGAAATCATTTCTGGGTATTCTTTTCGTAAGCTGTATCGGTAACACTTTATTTTAGGGCTCCCATAATTTCCTAGAAAGAAATTGACAGTTTAATGTAAATTCACAGAAAGGTTCCTGGTAAAGACGCAGACATAGACTTGGTACTGATTTTAGAGAAAACGGGGAATGTGTTCAGTAACTACACTTCCAATTAAACACTATCAAAATAATAGCTTAAAATATCTTTTAGTCAGTGCAGAGCGGGTCAGCTGAACATGGGGAAATTTGTCTAAATTGTATACAATTATTTAACAATTTAATATATATGGGAAAAAAGTTTCCAAGTAAATTTGTCTTTCAAGTAAGTTCCTCTGTTTAGGACTGCAACTAAGGATATTTTCCATTACCGATTAATCAGTTTTCTTTTAATCGTTTAGTACAAAAAAAGCACAACTTCCGAGATTTCAAGCAACCTCTTCCAACATCTTGTTTTGTCCAAGCAACAAAACCCAAACATACATTTAATTTACTATCAAAGAAGATGAAGAAAAACCAGCAAAATGTCACATTTGAAAGCTTTTTTAGCATTTTAAGACAAAAACATTTCTTAAATGATTAATCGAATATCCAGATTTATTTTGTTGATCAGCTAATCACCTAAATTAACCAATTGTTTCCACTCTCGTTGCTTGTGTAACCTAAAAATTCATAGTCAGTAAAACTGGATCTAAGTTCAATTGTATATATTTATGATAATTCAACATAAATGTAGAATTGAGTTTCTTTATTCCAAACCTGCAATAACATAATAATGACAGTAATACTTTTTGCCACTCGGTAAAGCCGCAGATTCAGTTCATGATTGTCTTTAGGTTCATCACTGAGTGAACCTTTTCACACTTCAGTTCCTCTATAAACCAAGTGCTTCTAAACTTAATAACTTTTGCATAAGTTGTATCTAGTTTCCCTTTACTTAGTCCCAAATTTAACAGCTATTTCCAGGAAACTTTATTGAAAATTATTAGGAAATTACAGAACCATAAAATAAAATGTTATTGCTGTATCTGCTGTTTGTTTTGTTTACCTGTGATCTAATGTGAACTTTTTAATAATTTCTTTCTTTGCATACATATATAAAACAGTACCTTTCTTGGTGAGATTTTCGCCTGCGCCTAGAAGATGCAAGAACAACCGACATGGTATCTGATGTGAAGGAATTTATTATTGTTATTAGAAGAATTACGCTGATGATTCAAGGTGCTAGATTTTTGTAATTGTAACATTTATTTCTCAAAAAACACCTATACTTGATTGTTGTATGATAGGTTAGTTGACCGTGAGTGAATGTTATATTAAAGGGAAATTCTGAGGTTTACCCAATCTCTCTATGTACTTGATAATTTAACAGCCTCCTGATATATTAGCCTCATAAAGCCATGTATGATTAGAAGCTTTTCTCAGCTGCAGCTCTGTTGCTTTTGCTGCCTGACGTTCATGTGTCCTTGTTAAGCTTAAGACTGTGCACATACTGTAGTTTGTAAATGTCTATGAAATCCCGTTTAGATGCACTTTCTCTCCTGACACTTTACATTTCTGTCACATGTAGTGTGTGATATGCTACCAGACCTGAGTAATCTGCAGAATATATGTATGTTCGATGTGTTTTTACCTGTTTCATGATTGGACCTCATGGTTTATGTTGTTGCTCTGAGCCATAAAACATGAAGCAAGCTGAGTTGGCAGGTTTGTGTCTTTTTTTTGCTGAGTCAGTCCTTTGTAGAATATTATTACATCTTATTTATAGAGACAGTGTCACAGTTAAACGTGGACATCATAAATCAGTGATACTCTTTATTGTATTATAAAAGATTTTGTTTGCTGATGTAATAAGACTGCTTTGATGTCAGCCATCCAGACTCTGGTAGACTTTAAACTCAACTCAGCCTGAAAATAACAGTTAAAATTACAGATGTAACATCCCTAAGTTGTTGTGGCAGTTTAACATAAACAGTCATTTCGAGGAGGATGGTATGAATCAGTAAGTCTGATTTAAGTCATTTTTAACAGGATATTAGAGGTTTGTGCTAAAATAGCCACATCTCCTTTGGATTTCAAAGAGGCCAAAATCAGATTTGGTAAAAGCCAGATTATCGTCTAATTAATGAGAATCAGATCACATCAGAATTACCATAAAACTTGAATTAAAAGGGTAGTCCCAATTAGATGCCTGTCCCTTTCAATGGCCTGGTGTGGCTACATGTTCTGACAAATAAGCACAGGTCTGAATTAGACGCCTGGTCTGGTTTTTATAGACGTTCTTTGGATGTATAAAACCTCTTAAAGCCGGGTCGCCCTCTTGAGCTAATTCTAAGCTGCTTAGATCACACGTATATATAAATGTTTAAACTTTTGTCAAAATGGGCACATCATACACAAGTTAGATTCTCCACCATTCAGTCGTTTAGTTCATTTTACACAATTTTGGCACAATGAGCACCAAATTATTATTCATTCAGATTTACTGTCAGTCTCTCTCTCTCTCTCTCTGTGCTTGAGGTTGGCCTAGATGGGCTGTCTCTCTGAACTAGATCAAATTATCAAAATTCATACTAGTTGAAATAAACAATTTCATAGTAGCCTATTTCCTGTCTTTGCTGAGCAAGAGTTTTGTGTGAAAGAAATTAAAGCCCTGTCCCAAATATGGGCAGGTTGAGTTGTGTGATTGAAGCAAATAAAAGCCCAGGCTATTAACTTAACGGTTATGGTAATCAGATTTTCAAGGATATTGATAAGAACATAAAGCACCACTTCCTGTCCCAAACTAATTTTGTTAAAAAGTACATCCCTTAAATCAACATGAGAGAAATAAAAAAGCAAACACTATACAATCTCACCTAAATTGCATAAGGATGTTTCTCTTCATTGAGACCAATAAATCTACCTGTTTATTTAGAAATGGAAAATCTTTGAATTTTGTTTAAATTCTGCTTCACATATAAAGCACTAAACTAGTTTTTCATGAGATAATATGCTCATAATTTGTACCAAACATCAACAGATATAACATATACATATGTAATACACTGTAATCTGCTTTTTAAAAAATAAATCATACAAAATAAAAATGTCACTTCACTTATCCAGGGGTGTTTAAGCTCTTTCCAGTCCCACATTTGGAGGTCCCCATTCCCTCACACATCACCACTTATGGTTGACAAAAGAACACAGCAGACAAGTTGACATTACAATATTTATTGAACCAAGAAAACCATTGAGAAAAGAAAATACAGCGGTCATATGATGTATGTTTAAATGTAGCCTGAAATGCACAACTCCATTCACATTTCCACTCTTTAAGGTTTCAATGGCAATCAGATGATGATTGTTTCTGGTGTTCTGTATATGAATATGTGGGAGTTTGTCCTGAATGCCTTGTGAGGCAGAGGCACTTTAGATGGAGGCTCAAGATAGCAGCACGATTACACGCCAGGGTTTTCAGAGCAGCAACTCCCCCATCACCCCGAGTTGACGGTCCAGAGTTTTGTACTGGACCACAATCTGGTCCATCGACACATCTGTTCCACTTTGTTTGAACAATGGATTAAATCCCAACAGATTTATGATCAAAATATGACAGAAGAATTATTCAAAATTGCATCTTTATTGATCATCATCAAAATCTGTTTCTCTCAAAGGAAAACCATTTGAAACTCTACATTCAACCAGAAACATGCCATTTAATACACTTTTCCTCTAATTTATATATTCCAGCACACGTTTGACTGAATAACACAGAATTGTGGGGAAAAGCCACATTCAATGAAGACGTTTCCAGGTCCATGATTGCCAAAAACATTAAGTGATTTAAGTTGCATCAGGGACTGTTCGTTTTTGTATCATTACATCTTTTTTCCCTTTTTGTTTCAGGTTTGCTGACTCATGAGTTTGGCAAAGTTTCTTCTTGAAGTGCCTTCAAACATTTTAATTAAGCAAACGTAACATTCGACCTTAAAGCTCACCCCTTCATTTGTGTATTGAGGATGAAATAAATATTCTATTCAGTTGATATTCCTTAACCAAGCCAATCTGGATGAAAAATAAATCAGGTTCACTTCTTAAAAGGTTTAAGTTTTTTACCCTCAAAGCTTTAAACAATGTTTCCTTTGTTGATGATACGATAAAGTAAAACATGTTTTCTCTGGCAATATTTACAAATCAGGAGTAAAATGAAAGCACTTTGAGCCACAGTTGCTTTCAATAGTAAACATAATCCTGATCTGGTAAAGGTTTAATTAAAAAATAATCGAAGATGAGGTCATAAATCCAAAAATCTACTGAAAACTATGTTCGTATTTCCCCCCCTCAGACACTCCAGCTCTTAGTGTGAGTGTGTGAGGAGTTCCTATCCTCCGCGCTGCATCAGAGTGCTCGTGTTACTGTGGGTAAATGCTTCAGGTGAAACGAGAAAAGCGTCATGTTCTGAACAGAGCAGGCGGCTGACATCTTTGTTCTCCAATCACCCGCCGTCAGAGCTGGGCGAGCTGTGATTGCCTCTCATCTGTCTTGACTGCCATCCCACTGGACACCTGGGAAGAGGATTTGATTGGCTGATGGTGATCGCAGGGGGCAGACTCTCAGTGTCAGGACTGTATCGTTCCCTTAAGGTACCACATCCCTGCGTGGCTGCTGCAGCACTCCTGGAACAACAGATGATAAGTTAGATCAGAGATAGATAAAAGAAGCTCCTTAAAAAGGTTCAGTCCCATCACCCATCTCACATTGAGCAGCCGGTCAATGTCCGCTTTAGAGGCATCTCCAAATTCCTGCGTCACTCTGACTTGTATCATATTTCTCCTGATCCGGTAGTTCTTTGTGAATAGTTCATAGAGCAGTCGACGGTGCTGGAGGAGGAAATACAGAACACAATCAACACAGAAGAAATACAACACACTCACATTTTCAGTTTTAACTCATCTTCACGTTGGGTAATTTCACACATTTGCAGCTACACACAAAGACTGTTTGACCACAAAGTGTCAACCGTCACTGCCTCTCATTTAACATTAAAAGAAATTCGAAGAAACAAGACAGAAAAAAAAAAAAAAAACACTTGGTGGGCAACTTTGCCACTAACTTTGGTTGTGGCCTACTTTTCTTATTTGTGATGCTTTGCAATAGCGCTGCAACTAGCCAATCAATGCCCACTATGAGAAACACTGCATGTGGTTTCTGAAACTCACGGGAAATTCAGTCATCACTGAAAGCTCTGACTTGTGTCTGCAAAAGTCTGCATGTAAAAAGTGAGACAGGAAATATGTTGACTACTATAAACCTGTTTTCAAAAAGTGTGTTTACCTTGTCGAACTCCTCTCCAGTCTCCCACAAACCAAACACCTTCTGTTCATCAGAGGCGGCTGTGCTCTGAGCAGGAAACTAAAGTCAGAGGGAAACAGCAAGTCAGAAAAGCATTTGACCAGGAGTGTACCACTTCAAATCCCTGAACCTGCTCCTAAGTCTGAGCAGGGAAGTAAAGCCATACTCTTTCCTTTCTAAACATGCACTACGAAGAAAGACACTTGTATAAAGATTCATTAGTCATTAACTACAAGATTGTGTTTGGACTGGCTAACGCGTGTTTAAAACAAAAATAATAAATCATGTATGTCCAACAAAACCTTTATTCAAGAGTGCCATTTTATGCATTAACTAACAAGCAACAGCGATGTCAAGTTGCTTTCCTTTCTGTCAGACTCCTCTTTTGTCCGTTAATTAGATTTTCTGCCCAAATGCCAAACACAACAAGAGGCCAAGCACTGCTGTTACCACAAGGACCAACACTGAGCGCTCCAAACCAGGATTACCCTCCAGACACAAGCCACCGACTCAAACCTGATTTATGAACAGTCAGACATCTAAACAACAGTGTTTACAGTTACGTAGAAGGCGAGTCACCTGATTCCAGATCTGCCTGCGTTTGCAAACAACAAACCAGCTTTGTCCACTGGCTGAGCAGTAATGAGCTTTACTTTCAGGCTACTAATCTGTTGCATAACGAATATGGCGTCTGGCCATTCCTTCCCCTACAGTGTTTAAAATCCTCTTACGTCAAGATGGGATGAGACCTAAGCTAGGACAGGGCTGGTCCTGGTAGGAGACCTGGTTAATAAAACAAGAGCATGGGGCACAGATGACCCTGCCCTTTGAGCAAACACCATGTCAATTAAACCCCAGCTAAAAAAGCAACGCTGACAGATTACATCCATCTACATTATGCCAACAAACAGCAACCTTCATCCACACACGGAGGAAAGACAAACACGCTACAAACACACAGAGGTGTCAGGTGGCTGCTGGAACTTGAGTGGAACCTGAGAACCAGGTTTGCATTGCTTCAGTGCACCGACTGCTTTACAAGCAACAAAGAGCTCACAAGCGAAACTACCGTTAATGTCGTTATTCTGTTTGAGAAAACTTCAGGCTGCCAGCGAGAAAACCCCCTCATTCAGCACCCGCAGGCAGTTTAAACTAGACAGGTACCAGAGTGGCAGCGGCTCTTAATCCAAGACACAAAACGGGACAGTGATCTCAGCGCTTCAAAATCAGATGTGCAGGTGAAACAGAGGAACGCTCATCGAATTAATGAAATGTAACTACCACATGTTTGGGGGAAATGTTTAAAAACTTGCAGTTCAACGCGTCAGAGTAAGAGTAATCAAATGATCCTGCAGAGGATATCACATTTACTAGGACTGTGTTCAAAACCGCAACAGCACTGTGTCGTATTGACTTAATTGAAACTACTGTATTGACTCAGAGGTCTCTAATAGGAAAATAAAAGTGTAATAATATATTTATAAAATATTATGAGATACACATTTTTCAACAAGATTTTTCTATGCTGTTTCTACCCAAGTATCTATCCCTCGGTTATTTTATAGCAATTTCTCATCTGGATATCCAGATGAGAACTGTGCTACATTTATTATATAAACAGCATATATTGTAATGATGAGGACGGCAACAATTATTTTCATTATTGATTAATCTTCTCACTTACACTTGCTGTTATACTCAAGTCAAAATGTCATGTCAAAAATAGTGAAAAGGAGACGTCTTTAAATTGCTTGTTTTGTCCAACAGTCTGAAACCCAAATATATCACATTTACTAACATATGTGACAAAACATTGGCAATATCCTCACATTTGAAAAGTTCTTGGCATTTTGGCTTTAAAAAAAACAAACACAAATGATTAATTGATTATTAAAACTGTTCAACTTATTAACCAAACAACTTAGTGATTACCTGACAACACTCTGAAGTTGTTTATCACTAATAACTTGTTGCAGCTATAGCACTAACTGCACTGTTTAAAGGGAAAATTGGGAGGAGGAGAAAAATATTGTTCCCGCCTGAAAGCAATATATTCTTAAGTGTTTTGAAGCCCGATAATCCCTTAAACACCTCACCCACACTAATGCAGCCCCGTGCAACGTTTTGCCAAAATAATGTCAGTCTGTACACTGCTCAGGAATGTGATTAGGCAACACAAATTATAGAGACACAGATTGAGAGATGGGAGGAAAATAGGAGCATCCAGTGTGAATGAACTGAAGATGATCTCCTCCCTGAATACTCACAGGAACCATTATCTGTTTGCACTGGCAGAGCAGTATGGCGTCCTGCAGCATGTGGTCCGAGATGGAGTGGAAGACGCTCCGTCCCACCGGCATTGAAGCCAGGTGGAGGTTAAACAGCCTCTTAAACTCGTTCAGCGTCAGTACAAAATGCTTCCTGAAAGTCTTTCTCACAAAGTCCAGCAGCTCCTGAGACGACGTATTGGCAGGACTTCCCCCGTTACCATTGGTGTGATCGAAGCCGGGGTAACCATTGACCGAACCGTTGAGGATGGCGGAGGAGGACGGGGAAGGGGAAGTGTCCATAGGTTCGTCTTCGGGTTCCTGTTTGATGCGGACGCTGCTTCCTGCCCGCTTGGAGTCCAGGTCCTTCTGTAGGGAAGACTGCTTCTCTTGTGCACGCTCCTGAGCCATCTTTAGGCGCTGCTCCCCGCTGACATGGACAAGCTCTGAAAAAACACACACACACACATAACCAGGCTCAAGATAGATATAAATAAATATTATTTCATTTGCAATTTATTAACAGGTGGCTTTTACAAACACAACTCAGTACACACCAGCCTGAGGAGAATTCTTTGGCACAAAGTCTTCTTTAGAGAAGTTAAAGACCTTTTCCAACCTAAAACGAAAGATTGGTACAAATTAAAACATCTACTACCCTAACAGCAACATTAAATAGCACTTCCATAATTGACAATACCACCCTGGTGTGATGGAGCAGATTCTGCAGTTTAAAAAAAACATTCCTCCTGCTTCTCTGAGTGTAACCTACTTGCTCTGGATGCCAAGCCACAGCATGTGTTGCCTGTGGGCAACATCTTGGTGTTTCTTAATGAAGTCTACATCAGTAGGCAGCAGGAACTCCCAGCCACGGTTGACTCGAGGAACTGCCACATGCTCCAGGAACTCCTTCACATCCTCTGGAGGAAGCTGACGGAGACAGAAGGAAGGACGTGTTAGTTCTGTTTACCTGGATGAACAAATCAGCTGTAGCCTCAAGGTGACAGAAGCAAGCTTTCAAAGACACTTCTGCTCCAATGAAGCTGCTCAGCACCTAAACAACCATGAAAGACAAAGCATGTCCCAGGTGTAGCAGTTTGTTTATGTAGCTCTCACACAAAGAACCTCATTTGGCTGTTGATGTAAACAAGAACATAGTCTTGCAAACACACCAATTAAAGGACAGTTCAGGATTTTTGAAGTGGGGCTGTATGATGTAGTCAGGGGTGTTGCACAAAAAAAAAAACTGTACCCTGTCCATAAGAATTTTCTATGGGTCCCTCCCCGCATCCACGGCTATTCATTTTAGTATCTTTGTGGGCTCTCCTCTCAAAAAAGGGCCCTGTGTACTCAGTTCTACAGTTGAGAAAATATAGTTTCAAAAGAAATGGCTGTCTGACGGCAAGGTAACGTGCTGAAAATATTCTAAACATAGCATGCACTGAGTGATTTTTTTCAGTGGCCTTCCTTTAGGTGGCTAAAATACGTTTTGCTGCTCAATAACTCATACAGCCTACTTCCAAAAACCTCAACAATCCCTTGTGCAAATTCATTCACACATTATTTTAAGAGGCTTGCTATTTTATTCACTACTTGCAATATTTCTGCAATAAATTGTCAAATCAGAAGGATACGTTGGCAATATAACCAACCAATTCAGTCCAGTCTACAAAATTAAAAAAGAGAAAGCACTTTCTCCCCACGACCCTGTACACAGGATAAGCGGTTGACAATGGATGGATGGAAAGCACTTTCTTGCAAATAAGAACCCGAGAGACTAATGTACCATGAAAGCAGCCTCTGGGTCAGCATACGTTTTTCACTGCTAACTTGCAATTTTTAAGATGGTAAAAAATTGTTACAAACTAAGCCATTTTCTAAAAAAAAACATATATGATTTTTTTTTTTTTTGGGCACAAAAGATCCAGGGCCATTTTCAGCTGTCATTATCGAGCTGGAACATTCAGCCATTTTGGGACTGTGTGTTGTGATCCTTACTTTGATGATGGATGTAATCTCCTTTCTCATCACAGAGCGCTCCAGAGTGAACCTCCACATCTACAAGAGGAAAACAAATGAGTCACAATCACTTTAAAACCATGTCTACCACACACAAAATACGCCATCAGGAATTACACTGTTATTAGTTTAATGTTGAGTAACAGTAGCTCACCACAAAGTCTCTACCACGGCAGAGCACTTCAGCAGGAACGCCACTGTGAGGACTGCAGGTGTTTTTAGGATACAGAACATCACTAGGAAGAAAGAAAAATAATACAGAAATATCATTCAACTGCAATGACAGTGAGTTTAATGTGAAAAATATTAAAATCATAATGAACACACAGCCCTGTCATTGTAATCTGCAGAGCTCTCTTGAGAGTTGAGTGAGACGTAATCTTCAAACACTATTAATCTGTGTAAAACGTTGTGACATTTGCTTCCCTTTAAAATAATCTGCATTGAAGCGGTCTGGTCTCACCTCTTGACAACCCAGTTCCCCTGAACCAGCAGCGCCACCTGTTGGATGCAGCGCAGCACAGCGGTCGAGTCCGTGCCAGAGGCGAGCAGGCCCATCAGGTTAGCAAACGGCATCACCTTGACTAAAGATGAGAGGAGACATGATGAAGGAAATATACCATTCCTGTCAGAGGAACGACAACTAACTGTTGAAATGTTGAAAACTGACAGAGTACCCCTAAGTGATGATAACCATAAGCCTATAATATTAAACAAAGAAGCTGATCCGAGTACATACTGAAAACCAACCTTTTGGTAAAAACAAAAGAAGAAAAAAGACGTTTTTCACATTTAGTTACCATGTACATCATTATCCCTAAAAATATGAGGCAAATTCCTTGTTTGTTAAAACACCTGCTTGGCAATAAGTCTAATTTAAACCATTTCACATTTGTCTGGGATTCATACTAATGCTTTGCCACCCCCGTGTGGCACAAAGACAAACTGCATGGGACCAGATGTCACATCTATCTGACTGGTCAGTTTTGTGTGTTGGCCTACCATTCTTCATCAGGGTCTTGACTTGGTCTCCCAGTGGCAGAGTGCGGAGCTGAGCCATGGAAAGAACATTACTGGGACCAGCAGGCTTCACACTGAAGCAGTCAAATAGGACAATGTTAATGATGCGACTCTGGATTAGTCATCCTGTTGAAATCCTAGATCTTTTTGTGGTTAGAAGTGTTAAGAATACTTACACTATTTCCTCTGCAAGAGGGGGCATCAGCATTGCCAGGTACTCCCTACAAAAACAAGAAAAGGAAGTCAGGGAGAGAGGTGATCATGTAAAGAGGGATTCAAGAAGAATTACATCAATATAAGCAATCATAGCCCAAACATCTCCAACAACGACAAACCAGGGAATTGGTTGTCCCCGCTGATCAGACATTTACTAAAATCCACATATTTGCAATCAGAGGTAGTTTGGTGACTGAAAATACCCCCCCTCTTTGCTTTGTAATTCTATGCTGCATAACCAAAAAAAGAATTTGGCTCAGACCCCTTACTAAGAAATAATCTAGACTCCCAGTCTAAAGTGTGATTTATACTTTTGCGTTGAATCGGCCTGACATGCACCTCCTCAAAAATGTAACTACGCATCAGGGCGACGCAGATTGGCTGGTCAGCTGGGTAGCCTCGTAATGCCTCCGAGCTGAAAGGAAGTGCCCTGTGCTTGGAAGTAAATTTTACTAGCAGCCAAATAGTGGCTGTAACACAGTGGATCAATATATTTGAGCGTCACAACCCAGGCAAAATGACTCGTTTCACTATCAGAATGTGATCCATTCAGTCAAAAATATTTGAGAAGTCTATAACAGACATAACAGACCAAAATAATTTTATCCACATTCAAGTTAGCGGAGGGCTAAACCGAAAGTAAGCCTGCTTAGCCGGCAAAAGTCAACACTAGCGTTTGGCAGTGTGTTTGCAGAACAATGCAAGCGTATGCAGGCTATGTGCGTAGCTGACGCCGTAGGCTACGGCGTAGACCCAACGCAGGAGTATAAATCACTCTTTAGTGAAATTAATCGAATGTATTCAAATATCACTGATACTCACTTAGGAGATTTGACCAGTTCAGAGTTCTCTGAGGCATCCACTGACTGGCAGAACAGGTACTGCCGTTCGTGCTCTGAGCGGCTATCCTGAATTAACATGACAAAGACAAAATCCAAATGTAAAATCAGACAATCGCTAGCTTAGTATAACCAAACAACAGAAGGAGGATGTAATCAAACAGAGGAAAGTACAAGATAAATCACCTTTGTCCACTGACCCAAAAATGATGCATGTAAAAGAAAAAAAAGAAGAGGGAATGAGTGCCCGCCCTACCTTGACACCGTGGTAATGCAGGTGAATCCAGGGCTCCTCCGCCTGCTTCTTCTGGAGGAACTCATACGACTGGATCCTCCTCTGCCGAGCCTGCTCCGACTCAGGACGAGCAAACCTCACCTGAAGAGTAAATGGAAAGTTTTAGAAATGAGGGGTTTAAATTGGCACATAAATTCAATGATATCTTGAGTTTGTGTGCACAAATCTTCACCGTGATAGCCTTGACGTCGTCCTCTGCTTCATCCTGTGAGGAATCTCCACCTGCAGACATAAGACTCTGGTCATATAAACAGTCATCATACATGATCACACCAGTTAGCACAACATTTTATTCTAATAAACAACAAGATTCTACTTATAGCAACAAATAAATAAAAAATAAAAAAAGTAAAATATGTGCCAAATTTGTTATCTCTGCTGTAGGGGGCTTCATTTTTTGGTTTATAAAATGTCAGAAAACAGTGAAAATTGTTTTTTTACAGAGTCTAGGGTGACATCTCTAAATGTATTGTGTTGTGTTATCTGAAAATCAGTCTTAAACCCAAAGCTTTACCCGTTTATCATTGTATAAAACAGGAAAGCAGTAAATCCTCACATTTGAGAAGCTGGAAGCAAAGAATTGTGACAAAAAGTCTAAATGTTCTGTCAATCTACTAATGAATTAATCAACCAATTTAATGCAGCTTTAAAAAGACTACACAAATTATAGATCATGATATTAGTTACTAGTCATTAGGGACGTGACAAGACACTGATCCCACGGCACTAGACGAGATTGGGTTCACGAGATCGAGACGAGATTTTAACGCCATTTTTAAGAAATATTTAATGCTGAATTATATGAAAATTTTGAGCATTAAACACTTTATTTCCTGCATTCTGATAATTTTTTCTGCACCAGTTTATGGAGATTTTTTTATGTATTTATATAAAAGACAAACAAAATTCAGGTGGCAGGTGACAATACAAAATCTATAACCTAACTAACAGAATATAAGTCAGCACAGCTCTCGGGCATTCTGTGCTGCTTGATATGGGATTTTTTTGGGATTTTCTCATGTCATTGCTATCATAATAATGTTAAACAGGGCTCTCCTAGATAGGCAAATTATAAACTTAGCCTCCTCCACTGATAAACACGGCATTACCTTTGTGGCTTATTTAGCAACAGGCAGCGTTATCTGCTGTTGACACTGCTTAGCCTGAAGAGGGCATTGGAAAAATGGGAGCGTTAGCAAGTCTGATCTCCGAAGAGGAAAAGGGGCTCTAGAAGTAACCTCTTTAAATGTGACTGTGGCACCTTTTCACCTCAATGATAAATCATTTACTTCTAATTTAGTTATAAACTCCAGGACTTCAATAGCTCCTGTGTTTCAGCAAATTTTCTGCTCATGGTCTAAACTTTCTGCACATTCAGAATCTCTCCCACAGATCTATGTTCTTTGACATGTCCAGATAAAAACGCAGAATATTACCAGACTAACATCATCATTTAATGAAATGTCTACCTGCCCTTTGCTCTGCTGGTAATAACTATCCCCTTCAGACCGTTTGACCGACGCAGTTTGGGACTGCATGTTGCATGTGAGGTCAGGTCACGTACAGCCCATGGCGATCCGTCCTTGCACCGTTACAGAGCTCGTTACAGTTGTGGAACTTTTGAAGCACTAATTTATTAATTTAACACGCACTGAAGTGTAAAGTATTAACATTGCGGTACTAGCCATCCTCCGTGGTAGGCTTGACCAATATGCGGTATTTCAATTTTGCGGTTATTGCAACAGCCCTATCACGGCGAACAGCGGTGTGAATCAGCTGGGTGGAGTTGATTTGCTCCGTGAGTCTCTTATCAGTTATACATTTGTAATTCACTGCGTGAGAAATTTAATGTGTGGCTTGAGAGCGTGTGAAAAAAGTTATTTGCGTGAGTCTCGCGAGATAGCTTTTTACCTGACGGGAATTCTTGTCACAATTTAATCTCGCGCCGATCTTGCAGCCCTACTAGTCATGTTTTAAATTGAACAATAACAGAGAATTAAGAAACAGTAAAAACTAAAATCCCTATGATGTTCTGTTATTTAAAAAATACATTTAAAAAAAAAATTACCTACACTTTGGTATATACCATATATATTTTTATTTTGAAAAGATGAAAAAGAGACTCACCTTCATTGGCTGCCTCCCTCTCTCTGGTTTTAGTGTCAGCCTTGTCCAGGTAAGAGAAGCTGGGTCTCATCTGGAGGATTCCCGTCAGAGGTGTGACGTGAAGCTCACCTATTCAAATAAATAATCAAACAATCAGAAAGCAAAATCTTACATTTGAACAGTAATAATGAAGCGGTGGTTGATTGTGGATTCATGTTTGTATGTCTTGAATTCGATCATGTTGACAGATTTGGTTATCTTTAATGTAAACACACAGTAAACTCCACCAAAATAACAATGCTTAAGATAAAAAAGGTAACGCTTAGAAAGATTCACATGGACTTTGTGAACACACAAGTGACCTTTGTGTATTTACAAGAAGCAGTTTAGAGAAACCAACGAGTGCACGGTGCTCAGATCAGACCTTTGCGAAATACAGCAACAGCATATCTGGAGGTGTTGGTGGTGGCCTGGATGGAGGAAAAGGTCTGTTTATCCATCATTTTCCTGGAAAAGAAAAATAAGAGGACAAAAGTCAGCCAAAATTTTACTTTTGGACAATATTGCCAGTTACCAGCTTTTTATCTAATGTGAAAGGAATAGTTCGACATGTTGGTGAAATACACTTGGTTGGGCCGGGAGTTTGGGACTGCCACCGCCAAGCAAAAGTACTTCTTAAAACGATGAAATGATCCATAGAATACTCTTACTAAAATCATTGTTAGCTGCAGCCCCTAGTGCACAGCTCAGATATTTGCTCACCCCCTCCCCCTTTCTCACAAACACAGTAGCTGCTTTCATACAAAGATCCCGCAATAAATGCAAAAAAATGATCCTCCATTCTGCCGCATTCGCTCATTCATACGTTTGTAGCATAATCCCGCAACCGTTACTAACGTGACTTCTTCCCTTTCCCATAGTCTTGTGCTTTCTCGTCCTTCTTCTCATCACTTTCTGCAGGTGTTTCTGGCTCTGGAGCTGTGGAGTCTGGATCTGTGGTTGCGAGTTACCTGCTGCCCCCGTGTTCCTGCTCGACACCCTCTGCTGCAATTATTGTTACTAGTCCTATTGTTATTGTTGTTATTATAATCATTAACATTACGATTATTATCATTAACACTACTGTAAATATCAGTACCATTATTCATTCAGTCTATAGCAACATTACCTTTACTGTCTGTACCTTTGTGTATATATTGTGTAGGCTGCCTCCCTCCCCCCTCTCTCTCTGTCTCTCTCTCTCTCTCTCACCCCAACCGGTCGAGGCAGATGGCCGCCCACCCTGAGCCATGGTTCTGCTCGAGGTTCTTGCCTCTTAAAAGAAGTTTTTTCTTGCCTCTGTCGCCTAGTGCTTGCTCTTGGTGGGAATTGTTGGGCTTCTGTAAATAACATCACAGAGTATGAAAAGCGCTCTGAAATAAGGCAGTGTGAAAGCGGCTATTGACAACAGACCCGTCTGTGAATAGCCCCTCCTCTTCATGCACACTCTGAATACAAAGATGATATCATGTGCACATTTCCCAAAACTGTCAAACTTTTGCTTTAAGACACTGGCGGTGAATAATAACTAGCTCTCGTGGACAGTAGCATACAAACAGGGTACTGGCAGTGTGAGTGCTGATTAGGTACACATACGCTGAATATGTGTTGGTTTCTTCATAAGCCGTCCCGTCCACATTCAGAGCTATCTGCTCTCCTTTGCTGCGACAGTAGTTTGGACTCATTGTGTTCATAGCCATTTCCAACTCCACCTGTGTTATGGGGTGGTACAAAAAAACATTAAAAACTATTTCGATACTGGATGGATGATAAAAATAAGAAAAGAGCCTTTTTACCCTTTGCTGTTTGGGTTTGATCTTAGCCGCTAAGTGGTTGACATCATCATAGGTCATATTGGATGGTCGGACGGGGTACTGTGTCAGAAAAAAAAACAATAAAAGGTGACTTGTGACATCTCAGTCACACTACAGAAGAACAAAGATGAGATCATTTATAGAAACTGTTAACACAATGAGTCAGACTTTTCAGCATTAAGTACAGCCAAGAAAAAGATTACCTGGAAAAGATACAGCTTATCTGCAAGGCTTTTGGCAAGGTACACATCAATCTAAAAGAGAGAATAAGATTGATCAAAGTTATTCTCTGAGTATACAAACTATACCTGGAAGTATTTCTCATGTACGCAGCCTTTTCTACAAAGCCATTATATGAATTTGAAGAGAGTTGTGTAACTGCTTCTGATGCTGTTTGTAAATGCTTGTCTGTGACCTGCTGTGTTTTGTTCTCTTCTGCTCTATTCCTTCTGCTATACTCTTGCCTCTCAGTGCTTTTCCTTTCCGTTACATTCATTAACTCTGTTTGCAGCGACACAGCAATCCCTGGGGTCATGTCACCTTATGTAAAAATGATCCAAGTGCAGTTGGAACTGTGGGACACGGATTTTAAATTATGGAAAATTATGGAAAATAAGAGCACACAAGTGGCTTACGATTGAGAAGCACTATTAGCAGATTACCCCTGAGTTGAGGAACCAGAATTGGGAGGGAACAAGTCAGATCATATTATCCACACCCAACATATTAAACAGAGCCAAATGCCCTTTATGTTAAGCAATAACACTTGAGGTTACTAAAATGGATATCGGGGAGGCATTGCAAGCCTTTGATAAATAAGGATCTTAAATGGTTATGATTAGATATCTTCTGTCCCAGAAGGACTGTGCATGTACACAGTTTTCAAAATACAGCAGCCTACGTGACATTTTAATAGACTAGCTTAACATGGGTAGTTCACAGCTATAACTAAGACAAAAAAACAAACTGAAGGTAGAAGACTGATGTAGTTCTATATTTGTGTAATTGTCAACAAATCCCACCCAACAATGCTTTAATCCATCTCTCTATACTGTGTAATTTTCCCACCCAGTCTGGGAACTCGGTTACATGATCATTCATTCATTCTTCACTGGTGTGTTTTTTAATAGTTTTTGAACAACAATGGAAGTTTGCACACAGAGGAATAAGCTATATCAGGGTTCACCTACACAGGGAACACTTTTTGACCGGATAAATCACCAGCCTTATCTTTTGACTCTGGCCTATGGACATACCTCTTCTATAATGGGGTCATCGTCATCCCCGCTGGCCATATTGATGTGAGCAGAGCGTGGAGGGGAGAGGAGGTGAAACAGGAGAGGAGCTGCAGCAGATCACAGAAACGCAACCTGGAAACAAAGAAACACTGAACCGGAGGACTTTATTTTATGGCTACACCTTCACATCACTAGTACCAAGTGGCTAACACCCAGACTGGTAACGAATAAAATTAAATAAAAATGTAATCCAACATATTAAGGTTATATCAGAATTCATTACTATTTGTCACTGTTTCACTCTTCAAGAAATCTGTAGTAGAGGGTCTATCTTTTAACCCATAACAGAAAGTGAACCTAAAGTTAGTCTAAAGCCAGACCATGCTCATGCAGTCTGTCAAGTGATGCCTTCACTGACACAGCCAGGTAATAAAAAACTCACATGATGCAAGACACTGCAATCCAAATTAAATGGCTGTTACGTTAGAGTTAACATGTCAAACAGTGATTTCAGACTGTTACAATAGTCATTATAGGAAATTACTCTTGAACAGAAAGTCCTATTAACGGCTGTTAGCTTGATTAGCAAGCTAGCAACAAACAGCCACTTGTCAAAGGCCTGCACTAACTTACACTGCGGGTTAGATTTTCATTCCCTAACAAAAAATATACACTTGTAAAACAATGGAAAACCGCTTCAACACGTCTCTTTCCTGTGGTTGAACAAACGTATACGCAACGAAACTACCTAACATGAAGGTAGCCGGTGGCAAGTACCCCAGCAAGACAACTTTAGCATAAGCAAGCTAGCTAGCTTGGCGTGCTAACCTACACATGCACAGTCAAAATAACACAAGTCAGTCACCAGGAGCTTGATTTTACACCTCATTTCTCCTAAACAAAGTCCAGAATGGACTTACCTCTCACCTGCACACTGCACTGTACAGTTTTAGCTATTTCATTCGTGTCTGAACAGTCCAGAAATGTGGTGCGTAGAGGTGTAGGAGGAGTGTCTAACTCAGGGTATCACAGCTGAAGTCAGTCGGTACCATGTTGACTCTGCTCCACACACAGGACACGTGGGGAGGAGCCCATGCCCATAATGCACAGCGAGCCGACTGCACAGTTGGCTTTTCTAATTGTTTCATTTCACCAGGTTTGTGTGCACTTCGCAAGCATTTAATGTGTGTACAATGCCATTCATTATGCTGTAATGTGTGAAAAGTTTATGGCAGCGGTGGGATTCGAACCCACGCCCCCGAAGAGACTGGAGCCTTAATCCAGCGCCTTAGACCGCTCGGCCACGCTACCTTGATACGAACTCAGTGGAGCCCCTTTCATAATATCCGGTACTGCTTTATGACTAATCGTTTTTATTGTAAGTTCTAGCTTTAAAATCAAACCTACCCTTCATATTTTTATAGCTCTTCACACAGTCCTCACAACAGCAGACTATGTAGAATGAACGGTGTGGATAACCTTTAATTGTTTTCACATAGGCCTACTTTTGTTTACAGACCTACTCCTTTTGTTAAGATAAGATAAAATAAGATCAAACTGTAAGTTATGTATCCCGTGGGAAATTGCTGTGCAGCACTTGCAGTACAAAGTAGGACACAGTGCAAGGTCACAGTATATAAAATATCAATAAACATATATCCAAAATGCATACATGCACTCATTTTTACGGTGGCTCCGAGGGCTCAGTGAGGAACATTTTAAAAGGACTATGAAATGTTTTTTGAGGATTATTTTGCGTTTGCTTGCAATACTTTTGCATTACCTCGCAATACTTTTGCATCCTCTCGCAATACTTTTGCATCCTCTCGCAATATGTTTTGCGTCCCCTCGCAATACTTTTGCGTCCCCTCGCAATAAGTTTTGCGTTCCCTCGAAATACTTTTGCATTCCCTCGCAATACTTTGCGTCCCCTCGCAATACTTTGCGTCCCCTCGCAATATGTTTTGTGTTCTCTCGCAATACTTTTGCATTCCCTCGCAATATGTTTTGCGTTCCCTTTCAATACCTTTCTTCTTCCGTTACTTCTGAGCCATAGCTGTGTATGCTCAGCTGCTCTCAGCGCAACACTCCAGCTTATTGAATTTTACTTTGAACGGAGCATTTACTATGTTGATATAGTAGCCTACTACTGCTCAATAGGCATATTTGTGTAGGCTACTTAATCAAAAAGGACCAGGCACCACGGAGGGTGGTGCCTTACTTCAAATACTTCAAATGCAAAGTAGTCCTGAAAAAAAAATTCGTAGTCCTCAAAAAATATTTGTCATTGACAACAGCTATGTCATCAAAACAGTCGCCAACTGGCAGTAGGAAAGTGCTCTGGTGCTTCCTACTGTCTTAGCGGAGTACATATTCGTAATGCTAAAACATTGGAGGACTTTGGTGACTCAACATCAAATTTGTACACAGTGTTACAAAATAAAAGATATTGTTAAATTAAACCAAGAATAAAATGTTGCCATACATTTTGTGTGCGTCACATGAGGTAATGCAAAAGTATTGTGAGGGCATGCAAAAGTATTGCGTGGGAACGTAAAACATATTGCAAGGGGACGCAAAAGTATTGCGAGGCAATGCAAAAGAATTGCGAGCGAATGCAAAGTAGCCCTCAAAAAATATTCATAGTCCTCAAAAAAATAATCATCACTGGGCCCTCAGAGCCAAAACATGAAACCATATAATTGTTTGTGTGGTATACTTTAAGTAGACCATGTTTGTCTGTTGTTGTGACTTAAATGAAGAGAAGAGATCTCATTTTATGATCAATTTATGCAGAAATCCAGGTAATTCCAAAGAGTTCAAATTCTTTTTCCTGCGACTGTACGTCTATGTATGTACAATATCATATCTCAAGGTTCGTGTGTATGGTTAATTAAAATTTTTCAATGATTATGTCCATGATATGCACATTATGTCGCATAAATCATAAAGGAGTAGTGATAGTTGCCTAATGCACGGAGAGACAGTAATCCAGAGAGTAAAAGGTAATCTAAATTCAAAACCAAACATAACACCCATTTGATAAGTCTTGTTAAATCTAAATTAAAATGATTAAAATGGAGATAAAACGAAATGCCAACAGAAGCTGATTCTCATTTAATTGATGAATTGCCTTCATTTTATTACTATTCATATTTAGTACAAACCTGAGGTACATATACTTTCCTTCAGTATTTTTTTTTATACTTTCTACTTTTACTCCACTAGACTATAACTTATCTCAGAGGGAAATTTTGTACTTACCCCACCACATTTGACTGGCAGCTTTAGTTACTAGTTACTTTAAAATATGTTTTATATAAATGAAACTACCCAAAAGCATGCATATGCTATACAAGTAGCCACAATTGAAACAATGCTGCTAACTTGCCTCACCAACTCGTTTAATGGATTTTAGATATTTTAACTGTTACAGAGCAGAGGGTCTTTGTAAATGTACGTTCTTCAGATTCCATATCTTCACAGGATCACCAAGGGCGCGTCCTTTCACCACCCCTTCTCTGTAGTAGCCAGACTGGCTGCAGTAGCTTCCCAGGAGAGCAGCTATTTGGTTAAGTTTTCTGATGACACTGTGTTATTGTCAATCCTCCAAAGTCCAGTATGTGAGTCCAGTATTTTATCAGGGTGTGTGATAAAAATTTAACTTAAATGTATCTAAAACCAAATAAGTAATTATGGACTTTGGGCAGAACAGAGATGCTGCTTCAGAGAGCATCACACATAACAAAAAGGTGGAAATCGTCTTATCATATAAACACTTGGGCACTCTTTTACCAGTTTTTTATTGAGAGTCTTTTAAGCTTTTCTTTCATCTGCTGGTTTCAGAATCTGAAATGGAGAGACCTTAATGCTTTCTGTAACTAAAAATCATCCAGAAGGCAGCAGGTATTTTAGCCTCTCCGAGATTTTGCCCTGGCAGCTGAATTCTCTCTGTTGCCATCTGGGCGTTGTCAAGCACTACCTGCCAAAACGAACCGCCTTCCCACCGTACTTGTTATTTTGCAGACATGTTGTTCTTAATTGATCCTAGTGGGATCAATAAAGTAGTTTAAGTTCACACACTTAAAGACAGGCTGCTTTTCCTTTTAATTATTTTAATAATTGTATTATTGGTTGTCATTTTTCTTTATTTTTTGATAACCAATCAATCTCAATAATGGAGAAATTAACCTGCAGATTTATTCATAATGAAAATCATAATTAGTTGCATTCTTATACAAAATAGTTAAAAAGGAGCTTCAACCAACTACAACATAAAATCCTGTTTTTAGAGTAATAATACTCTAATGATACAATATATGATAATGTAACAATCAAAGGGGGACATACTTTAAGTACATTTTCTTGATTATACTTAACATTTTCAATACAGGACTTCAACTTGTAACAGATTATTTTTACAGTGTAATGAAGATCTGAATACTTCTGGTTCCACCACTGTTAGTATTACATTACTGGAAGTACTTGAGTTTCATTTAGTGCATTTTGGATTACTGTGCAAAAATATTTAAGTACATTTGCAGCATTTCTGTAATGTAGCATATTAATTTTTGTTTCATAATGCGGTGCTACCTGTTTGTGTTTTTAGGGTACTGTGTCATGAGTGACAAAATCTACAAATGTTCAGAATTAGAGTTCAAGTGTTTCGGATTTGAGATCAACTGTTTAATGGTGTTTCGAAAAAGTCAATATTTTTTACAGTCAATATTGCAAAATGCTTGTGAAGTGTGAAAAATTATTAAGTTTATAGTGTAATATGAGGTCAAAGACATCGTGTGGTGGGGGTTTGGGAATCAGTCCACTTTGTTTACATCTCTCACTGGAAAACATATCGTCTCAGTTACAGAGCTCGTCAACTAGAGATAACATCCAGGAACGAATAATGACAAGTGTTTACCCATAAAAAGCAATGCATACTTTATTTTACAGTTTTATTCTCCAGGCATTTTTACATATGTTCTTCCAACAGAAATGTGTTAACATTTGGGTCAAAGTCAGTAAACATTGTTTGTTTGGATTCTTAAGAGCTTTTCTTTCATACAACATTCACTTAGCCAAAAGGTCATCAGAGAGGGAATTAAAGTCATTTCACAAACATGAAAAAAAAAATAAAAATAGAAATAAAAATAGAAACCTGGACACCTATACCCGATCCTAGAGGGCTGAAGTCACACACGCAGAGAATACAAATATGTAAACTGGCCTGACTAACAGTCAGACACATTAACTCCCGTGGCCTTTTTGTGATAAAAATGTGAATCCAGAATTACTCCTCCATTTGCGCCCAGGCTTCTTCAGCTTTCATATAGTACTGGTTAGCCAATCGACCTTTCATAGCCGCCATGGCAGCTTCTGCTGCTTCTGTAAACAAGTCACCTGTACAGAGGGATGTTATGAGATGTTAGAGACAATTATCTGCATCAGTGAATGGCTTTTAATTGGAAACATACAATCAGCAACAAACACTGTTAGGATAAGGCTATTGGTATTCTACATTTACTTATTGTCAACAAATCCAATAAAAAACTGAAATATGTTGATGATCCTACTAACAAGTATTACCTGTGTAGCCTCATATATCTTGTTCCTCTGTGCCATAGAGCCAAATTAAGCTACCCAACAGTATAAACAAGTATAGCTGAAATGATTAACATTTATTTTGATAATGTTTCAAGATGTTTTTCATTCAAAAACATTTCATAGTTCCAGCATCACAAATGTAAAGATGTGCTGCTTTCCTTTTAATAATTTTGAGGTTCTGAGCTATCAGCCTGACAGAAAGTGTGTATTTAGCCATGTTGTGCAGAAACTGTTGTGTGTTTGGACAAATACTGAACATATGGATTAGTAGCATAGATATGCTGCAGGAGTGGTTTAAGAAATTTCTATGGACCAGATTCCATAAAGGAGAAAGTTAAAAACTTTTCGGAGCCTCATTTCAAGCCTATGTGGGGTGTTTAATACTCAAAAGACAGATTTCAGTGGAGTATTCCTTAAAATTATGTGGTTATATTCCGGTATATTTGGCACTGTTAAGCCATGGAATCTAACCTGCTCTCTGTGGGTCTGCAGTGAGTTTGTGGCCTCCCTCTTGGTACATCTCTGCCTCTCGGGCCAGCAGCAGGTAACGGGGTTCGTCCTGCGTCCCATCAAACTCTCCTCCCTCATCGTAGTCTGTCATGTTCAATGCACTGTCATACCAGCGAATCGCTTCTTCCCAGTCCTGATTTCTGCATAATTGAGAAGTAAAAACAAATAACACACAAACATTGTAAAATTAATAGAAAATCTCTAGAAATCCCTCTAGGGGGCAGTATTATCAAGACTGTTGGACCAGGATGGACTAGTTTAGACTGCTCCAATATAATCTTCACTGACCTGTCAACTGGCAGATTGATCCCAGTATCAAAGGCTCTGGCCACTATGATCATAGACGATCTGTCACCAGCTTCAGCAGCCAGCAGCAAATACTTAAAACCTCTCATCCTGTTTCCAGCATTATCCTGCCAACAACACAAAGATGTAAGAATAAATAAAAAGATGTAAAAGGGAGCATACAGTACAAAACCAAAGTCAAATCAGGTGAAGAAAAAAGGGCTAAATGAGGTGAATGCTACCTCCAGCTCCATGTCTGGCAGTATGTGATGAGGCAGCTGCAGACAGCACTGTCCCATGGCTACAATGGCCTCCAGCTCTCCACACAGTGCTGCTCTCTCCAGGTGGAACATGGCCGATTCCTGATCCCACTGCTCATCCTTCTCACAGAAACGGCCCGCTTCATGGTACCGCACCATCGCCAGGTGGACCTGGGAAGGAGGATTGATTAGCAGATCTTAAGTTGAGTATATTTATGATTTGACTGTCCTGACAGGTTGGACAGATTCTGTTCCAGTCTGGGCCAGGTGTTATCAACAGGAGCTATACATCATAAAGTATTCAGTGATTCCGATTATTTGCCTTCTGTGTAACTGATGCCTGTCTCTCCTATTAGGATTATTTTGTTTGGGACCATAAACATCATGTAGCAGAGGAGAAAAAATTATATATAAAAATTGCCCAAAAATGGCAGATAGAGGTAAAAATTGTAATCTACCAACGTGCAAGTACATACTTTTTTTGTCTTAACAGTAAAAAAGGAAGGAAGTTCACCTGAACTCTTAGTAAGCTCACATCTTAACTCTTTCTACAGAGTCTTCTTTAGCCTGGTCCCTTCATTCACCATTTCCTCCAAATTCAGTATTTTCCCTTAATTTCTTGACTTGCAAACTGCAGCCTAAACTGTTTGTTATGGGTGTCCAACTTTGATTTGATACAGGAACAAGCAGGACTTTGTGTCCAAATTCTATACTACTTTATTCTAACCAGGTCTTGAGCTTGTGTTCACACAGTAAATGTTATACTCAATAAAGTCTGCATGCTTACTTAAAAAACGGCTACTCACAGCTGCAAAAACATGTAAAGAATTTACGAATGGTGGTAAGAATGATCCAGCTCTTGATCTTGGCCAGCAAACCATCAGAAAAACATTTTGCAGTCACATATATCATGTTTATTACTGTCAACCACTCTGATGTTTTACCTTTCCGAGGATCGACTGGCCGATCTTCTTTTGCATCAAAGCGTTGAGTCGCTCCACCTCAGTGGCCACGCAGGAAGGTCGGTGGACATGAGCGCGAGACGAATGGTAGAAGCTCCACTTATCCTCTGTCAACTGAGAAGAAAAAGACAGTCAAGATATACAAGATGGAGACAGAATGTTACCTCAGTAATCAGAAAAATGTTGAAGGTGAATCAAGTACAAGAAAGGAAATCACACTCCACTCTCAGGGGTGTACCCATCCAGAAAGGTCTGCTTTAATTAGAACTGATAAACAACAGAGATCAGCCTTGAGCTCGGAGCTGGAGGAGTACATCCCTGTTGGATTGTCGCTCATTGAATGCAAAAACATGTAACTCATGGGAACAGGAGCACACACACAACACACAGTTATTATGTTGAGAATTGTTAGCAAGATGGTGGAGTTGGTGAAACAGAGGCAGATGGTGTTTCAGTTCCAAATGTCATTTTGTAATTTGCACAACATTGCACAGGGAAACACCTGGTTTTCACGCCTCCATGCAAATAATCACCCATTCGTTGTGAGAATTGTATGAACTTAAGTTTGCAGAGACTCTTGGAGGAGCTACCATCTTCCTCTAGTGAGGGAACACAAAGAGCAGGAGGAGCTGAATTAGAGGAAAGGTGAAGAATGGCTTTCGTTGTTAAGCATATGATGAGAAAAAAAAGGGGAAAAGACAAAGTGTAGAAACAAGGATGAAATTAGAGGAGGAATATGAGGAGTATGATAAGACATTTACACACTGTTGTCTCTTTGTTTGTTTACCCGTTTGATACTGTCCTCATCCGACTCAGAATAATGTCTTTGGTAGCGATGATGGGCCTACGTGATTATAAAACATGCATTATAAAACCTGCTGTCAGAACATCTCACAGTCAAACTTAATGTAGAGATGAGGAAATGTTAACATACTAACAGCTACTGTCAGGACTAAAGTACACAGGAGACTGAACTACATACAGTAACAAGAGAAGTCTATCTCAGCGTTTAATAATTATTAACAATGGATGTGTTTATTTGTTCAAGATAATATGCCAGAGTATGCTTACAAATCTTTTACTTGTAAATCTAATTTGGACACTAGAAATACACTATTCAATCAGCTATAACATCAAAAATATATTTTGCCACTTAATATGCAACTTAAAATGTCGGGTATACACAAATAGAGTTATTGGCATTGTTTATCTATAGGTTAACTGAGGGATATGTGTGCGTAACCACTTCCTCTGTATCTTTTTGACAGAAATAAATCCTGGTCTGGCCAAAATTAAATTAAATGAAAGTCAAGTGTAAATCTTTACCCCGTCTACATGGTCATTTGGGTCGCCTTCACTCCTCCTCTCGCTGGGGTAGCCACTGTCACCACCGCTATCAGATTCCTACAGGCAGAAATTCAATAAAAATATCTGTTTAGTGACTTGTGAGTTGTGTGAAAGTCCTGCAGTTAGGTGGACTTGTGACTCAAATCAGGACTCAGCCATCTTAGAGGTTTTCCAATTATGTTTCCTCCAGCCGTGGAATATCACAATAATAGGGTGTTTCCTTTCCCACACTGATGTTTAGAAGGTCATTCAAGCTTTTATATTATCATGTCTAGATTTTTGCAAATCACTATTTTCAGGGTTAAACCAAAAAAAAATCAAGTTCTAGTATCTTTTCTGTTTGTTTATTTTATGCTTTTTATCCCATTTTATTATATATCTTTTTTATACTTCATTTTCAAAGTTACAAGGTAAACCACCTTGAGACTTAGTTTTTTATTATGACTATAATAGACTTCAGCCACACACTAACCCTTTTATTTACATTTGACCTGAAGTTTAGTTGATCATCCAATCAGTCGACAATATGACCTACATGCAAATGGTGAGCATACTGAGTCCCTTGCACTAAAAATGTTGCTATTGTATTTAATTGATGGATGAAGATGACTTCAACATATATTTTCAGCTTCTCTTGACTAGATTTTATATAATCTAATCTTATCTATCTATATCTGTTTAATAGATATGAATGTAACAAAATAAAAAATAAACAACTTGACTTTAATGTTGACATTAAAGATTTAGGATTAAATTCAGACATGGAGCTCTTACCGTACTGACTTACTGAAAATTTGGTAAAATGTGACACAGCGTCATTTTTATGTGCTTTTTGGAGTCACATTCTCTGAGTGATTGCTCACCTTGTGATCACCTGTGTTGTTACTGTTGAGTCTTTCCTGCTCGTACATTCCAGTAAAAGATAAGCCTGTAAAATGTAGAAATAATACAAAACAAATACAGACACCACGTTTAACTATATAATACATGCTGTTACAGATGTGCAGAACGTTATAATGTGTTCATGCACATACCGACAGGGGACTTGGCCATAGATCCATGTGCAGGAAGCGAGGAGCAGGGGAAGATGAGAGGGGAGCAGGGAACTGAATCTACGTCACTCATGCTCTCCTCTGCAGATGACGTCTCAGACAGACGGGATAACAGCGGAGGTGCCCGGCTTGTAGACAGGGTCCGAACCCGAGGAGAACCGCAGGGCTCCTCACAGCCCCTCAGCACTGTTTGGGCAGACTTCTGAAATAAAACAAGATTAATCTTTCTCAAGGAAAAAAGCAACAGTAGATGGAATAATACACTTAAAATAAGCATAAAACATTATACTAAGAGCAGGTAGCAGTTCTTAGAAATTGCTGTGATTCTATCACAAGATTTATTAAAGTTAAAATTTGTTAAAGTCATATTGTGGCACACTCATCGCGCTTGCAGAATGCAGCTGTTTCCTTCTTTCCTCTCTACTGTTTTAGGCTGCATATTCAGTCTTATCAAAAACAAAGTATCCTACAGGAAATAAGATCCCACAGCAGGGGAGTCACATTCATGCCTAAATATGGCAACTGTGAAATCCAACAAATCTTACTTCTATTTCTTTAGGACATTTTCCCCCATTTTCTTTATTATTATTTTATGAACTTTCCAGGTTATTTGTACCATGACCTGCTGCTGACTTCTGGCCCTGGCTGACACTATATTTATTTTTATTAAAATGGTAAAATTACAAGCAGTTTGTTGGTGCAGTCCAGCTGGGACTTCTCTGCAGGGGAAAGGTCAAAAGGCGTCAGGCCCATACTCTTGCAGATCTTGTTACACAGGTGGGAGTGGAAGAACAATGCCATGCCTCGCACACCTGGAACACAGGCATAATCAAAATGGAGCTTGTTGAATAATTTTCTAAACAAATATCTAGCAGCAGCTTGTCAGTATGAAAGGGAAGTGTACCGAGATTTCCATCTCCAAAGTCAGTCCCCGTCTCTGTGTGGATCTGAGGGTCAGTGTAGAGATCTCCGACTCCTTGGATGTCCACCACGATCAGCTGGTGGCCCGATCGCTCAAAAGAGAAGTGACTGAAGGCCTGATGGATACAAAATGAATTAACGGAGAAGATGATTAAGTATTTATTTGTTGAACACGTATTAATACCAACAGGTGACGTCACTTACCTGTGGAGTGAGTCGGATGTTGTCATCCCTCACAAAGCCGGAGTTGGAGTTGTATTTGATGTACTTGCCCTCGATGTAATGTTCCAGGTGGAAGACAGGTTTACCTGGTCTGTCTGTCATCTCCACCACACACATCTGCATGATGTCCACCTGAGGATAAGGATGAGATAAATAACAGCTGGTATATGCTTTAAGTGTGCCTTGCGGAAAAGCAGAAGTAGAAAAAGAATGAAAAAGGATAAAAAATAGCAAGACAAACATTTATATATAGATGTAAAGATGAACATATGTCACAATTCTAATATATTGACCACGCTTGGCCAGATACTGATACTCTCTTGAAAATAATACATTCCTGTTTACAATCCTTAGATAATGATGCGATTATAGTTTTTTTTGTGCTGAAATAATGAGAGTTGTGGCAACACCAAAGTCTTCAGTCTTAATGATGAAATGCAAACACTAAATTAAAGTGTATTAAATATACCACAAAGATTACTTTTTCAGTTTGTCTGTCTGTTGTTATGTCAAAAACTAGTACATAAATAAAATGTTATAGAAAGATATGCCACATGGATGAGGATTAGTTATTTGTGCAGATCTGGATCCAGGAACTTTTTTAATGTATTTCCTAATAATGAGGTAAGCCATTTTAAATCATTTTTGATGTCTTCTCGAAAGTTACTGACACTTATATCCCATGACTGTGTTTTTGATTCAGATCCAACCCTATATACAGATTTAAAGGTTAAGTAGAGCTGACATGATTAGTCAAATCACTTATTAGTCTATTGACAGAAAAACAACTGACTACTATTTTGATAACATTACTTTTTTAAACATAAATAACCTTGTAATTCTCAAATTAAGGGATAATGAAAAAAAATCAGTAGTCGCAGCCATAAATCAAATTAAAATTATTTTCCATTATCAAAATAACAAGGAATTGTGTAGCCATGCGTTCTAAGCATTTTGGGATTATCACTGATTTTGTCAGTATTATGTCCTGTACCTGTTTGGGAGGTCGGTGGCGGTTGTACTCTTCTCCCCAGAGTTTGGCCTCCATCTGCAGCCTGACGTCCTCAAAATAAACATTTCTGTCCACGGTCTCCATGTAGCTCTTAGCCACATAATTAGATGCTGACTTCCAGTTGCTGCTGTGTGAGAAATTTGACAACTTCTTCCTGGAGGGAAAAAAGCATAAGAGTAAGATACTACTGTAGTGAGTAGAATTTCAATTACATATACATATACATATACCCACAGTTTTTATAACTTTTGATCAGCATCAATTAGAAGTGATGTCAGATGTGCCCAAAGTAACCAAGAAACAGAAAACAATAAGTCGTTCCTTTCCCTCTAACTTGTTTGGACTTGTAGAGACCTGGGAACTTATTTTCATATTTGTCAGAGTGGAATTTTCTGTGGGACACTACAAACCAGTGGGGGTTGATGGATGCCTCTCTTTAACATTTCCCACATAACATGAACATAGACAACACAACTCTTTCATTCTGCAACGTCATGCAGAAGCCAGAACACAGTGGAGTGTGCTTAAATTCCATTTTATCGAAAATAGCAACCATCCAGGGACTCAATAATGTTAAAGATAAATCCCCAGTGCCACCATGGAAGACTTTATATAGCTAAGTCAGAGAGATATTCTCAGTACCATCTTTGGCTCTGAAACTACAGAGCAGCAATCCTCCCAAGTTGGAGTAAGATATGTGAGGAATGCTGACCTGCACTACTTATAGGCTAAATCTAAGAAAGACATATCCCTCTGCTTTGTTTCTAAACTTACGTTCTGAAGCACTCCCTCATGGCCCCTTTCCCAAATGGCTGTTTGAAACCAAGCAGAGGAAATGAGTTAGATACGAGATAAGAAACTGTTGTTTTTCTTTAAATAATTGCAAAACAATCATTTTTCTAGAGAGCAGTGATACCTGGGCAGCCATTTTGAGGTGGACCTGGTCTTGAGCCCATTCTCCTGTGATGGCATTGTACCTGCGAAGAGGGACAGTGAATCAAGTCAAAATATAGATTGCGTTCACTCAAATATGGCTTTCCAAAATGTTTGATGCTCTTTGAATCCACAGCAAAGCAAATCTAAAGCAAATCTAAACACATAGAAAAGTGTGGTTTTTGCCATGCTCTAGGGATAGCGGCCACTATGAGGGTGACATTTGTGGCTTTGGGTGAAATATCGCAACAACTATGGATGGATTGCCATGAAATTTGGTACAGACGTTCATGTTCCCGTCAGGATGAATTGCAATAACTTTGGTTATTTCAATAGTTGGTTAGCATTCTCATTGTCAGCCTAGCATGTTAGATTCTGAAAGTAAAGATAGACACCAAATAGTGATTATTTCTAGAGCTAAAATGATTAATCAATTTTCGATTTAGTCAGTCGACAACAATTTTGATAATCAGTTAACCTTTTAATCAAACATTAGCTTATTCGGCTTTTTAACTTGATGTCACTGTAATCTTTGGGGCTTTGGACTGTTGGCTGCATAAATCAAGTCAAAACAAGCTCTGGGAAAATTGTGATGGCCATTTTTTTATTGACTTTTTATACACGATTGAAGAAAAAAATAAATAAAGAGATTAAAATTCAGCACAATCTCTATCAATAGTTTTGGAAACTTAAGTCTACTGAGGCTCTGTAAAACAGCACCTCCTTTCAAGCAGAGGCTGAGAGACCATCTGCGGGGCGTTTTTTACGTCACAGAGCAGAACCCTGACCCTGCTCTGCGGGGAGAAAATGGGTCTTGTTTTTGTTCTCCACCTGTTACATCACAAATCCCCACACCGGATGGTCTACAACACTGAGCTGTTTACCAGTACTCTTTCTCAACGTTCCAGTCTTGATCATGTTAGCCAAGTTACTCTTTGCCCTCTGTGAGGGAGTCTGTCTGTCAACAGTCCATTATCAATTGTTATCACGGAGGCATATAAAGCATCTAGTTTCTTTTCAACAAACAACAAGACTAAAACAAAAAGTTGGGTGTTTTTTCGTGTGTTGTCTTTCCAAAGAAAAGTTAATATTGTCTGTGCATTATTGCCCATTTTTTTGGACATCAGGATATTTTGATTTGATTGAACTCATACAATCATTATGGTAATACAAATGTATGTGTACACACTGTACATCTGGGTCAGTGTGTCTGTTTGGCTTTGCCAGGGGTGTGTCCAGAGTTAATGAATACTGCATGAAGTGTAGGTGCAGCTGCAAGTCTTCACAGCTAAAAGCTGAGTGCCTTTAACCTAGAAACTATAAAGCTCCCTTTCTCCACTCAAAGAACAGTGCTCTATTCCAGATCCAAAATCTAATCACCACTCTTTTCTGCCAACAAACTGCTTCAGCCTGGAAACGTAGTGTGTCATGACATTAATTCCACCAGGTTCATACTTAAAAGAGGGAAGGAGGAGTGAGGTTACATGTGGGTAAAATTAGCACATGAAAAGAGATCGCCAGGGTAAATCCAAACTCCTGACAATCCCCCCCACCCCCGTGGTCAAGTCCCAGCTGTTATGTAATAGATCTAAAACACACACACAGAGGAAAATAAATTATTTTCCTCCTGCTTTTTTGACCACACCCATTCAGTTTGTACCGCTGCCTCACTGTAACGGTGCCAACTTCTGAGAACTCTGCATAAGTGTTTCCCACTTTTTGTCAACAGTTGGAAAACATAAGCACAAACGGTGAATCGTGCTGCCACTTTAATGACACTTCTAGACCATTGCAGGCTAAGCTCAGTGTCAAGTAATAATAAAATATGTTGCAGCTTAATACTTTAAAAGTAGTCAATATTTTCACAACAACAAAGAGTCAGGTGACTTTGTGTAATGTTAAAGTGGTCGCCCGTAGTGATGAAACTGCAGAGAATTATCGCCCCACTCTTCTTAGCTTTTAGCACTAGAGTCTTTTAGCGTCTTACATCTAATTATTTGGTTTTACAGCCCAGAACTCAACAGTTTTGTTTCTGTTTTTGGCCGCAGCAGTCAGCTGTTTTCAGTTACAAAAAAGTTCTGATAAACTCATTGAATGCTACCTGCTCAACACCAAGAAAGTTAGTGACTAGCTTGTGAACATAGTGGGAGCGTGTAGCAACTGAAGAGCAAGATGTTGCAACTGTTTGCTAAAGACTTTGCAAAATCAATTTTATAAAGTGATCATGTGTCCGTGTTGTGTTTACAGCTAGTTGCATTGCCCCCATGTGACTAAAACATCAATTAATTCAGTTTTTATTCAAATTAAAGTTCTCAAAATATTCTTTTTACTGACACACTTGAGACAACTTAACCAAGTTTGTTTCCCCTGTGCTTTTCCCGCTATGATGCGGTATGGAAAATATCTTTTACCGCTGTTAATTCATAGCTATGCAGAGTTATTCATACCTGTAACGAATGCAGCGTTCTGTCTTGATGTCCTCCAGATGAAACTGTGCCCAGGGGTCGGGCATGGCTTTGGCCTTTTCAATTGCATGTTTCCATGCATCCTGTCACAAAGAACAAACATGAGTTATTAGCCTGCAGTGTTTTGTGCAAATATAATGGTAAAGTCAATTTCACAAAATGTTTCGCTAGGAGGAGAGGAAGCCATTAAATGCAAATTTATAAAATTTGTACAATAAAGGCAATTCCAAGTTGATTTTGTGCACATTCCGCACAACAGTCACTTTTTCCACCTTAAGTAGCAAGCAAATTCAATTTCACAGTTTCAACATTGAACAGCTTCCCCTAATTCTTTAAAGTATTTGCATTTAATCAGATTACGTTTAGGGAACCTTACATGCAGAACATTTAGCATCAGGGTCACACCAATGTAAACTAGAGCCTGCTCTTAGGATGACACTTGTTTAGTGTGCAAATAAATTCAAACATATTCAACCAGGAAGAAAGCACACGCTCCTTACAATTTCATGTAAATCAAACTAACTGATGAATTTATTATGAAATAGTACATAGGTTTTTAGTAAGAGGCACGCCTCCCACTAAATGTATAAAGTGGGGGTCAACTAAAGTGTCCTGTTCCATAATAACTTAAATAATTTCCTGATACCTAAAAATTAATGTGTCCATCATGTGATGATTGATGACCATCTGCTTGTGCCATTTTCAAAAGATAGTAGGAACCATGAATCAAGTGTCACTAGTAATTCAAGCCAGCTCCAGTAACCCAAACCCTGACCCATCCCATACTGCACAGTAGCACGTCTCCCTCGTATGCCACTGATCACTGTAGAGCAGGCAAGCTAGACATATTTATATTTAGAGCGAAGGATTTACATGAAGAGAAATACGGAGGGTCATGTTTTCGAGTGAGCGTGACGTCTGTGACGAGGAGCAGGCGACACATTTTACGTCAGACCTCGTTCTCCTGCAGGAACATACAACTTCTCTATGCTGTCACAAATATCACAGCCTGATCACAAGACTTAAGGATTAAATGGTAATGCCTGGTGTGATACTAAAATGCACAGCTACGCCCAAAATACAATGTCTTTCACTTTTAAAACAGTCTTAAAGCATCAGCATCTATAATATAATGTACCTTTCAATATAATATTTCTGCTGTGTTTCTGCTGTGTGTAGATTAATTAAAGCACAGGAACACAGTCTGAAGGAAGGGATTGATTAGTATACACAAATGAGAAAAAGTGGAAAGTACGTTGCAAAAGTAAAACGAAACTTTTCAAAGCAGTGATGGAAAGGGACAGTAAATTACAGAGTGAAGAAGGGAGGTGTAGATGGTCACTGGTGAATATGGAGAGAAATAAAATATATAATTTGATCTGTAACGTACCCGTGCGCTCTCAGACAAAACCTTGTACGACCGAGATTCTGCCACTGTTTCTGTTTCATTCTATGTAGAAAGGTGAAGAAAACGAATGGCTTTTCATTAACAACCAGAAAAGAAAATATCTAACATTCACATAGCATCCTCAAATACTTTAAATAACATGAAATGCCTTGATGCTTTAAAGAACAACACTACACAAATACTAGAAAGGCCAGATGACTGGCGCACAATGGCTCTGATAAGAAGCATTCTGCACTGAATTGAGCACTTAAGAATGTGTGAGAAATGTAACCTAATCACATGAGGTGAAAACCACTCTCTGGTACTTCCTATTCTTAAGAGAGTACAGTTATAGCCTTCCACTCCAATAAACTGATACACACATACAAACAGCACAAAGACTTTATGTGCAGGCATGCACGGATCATCTCTCCTTATAAGGCAGAAAATTGCACAACAGTGTTTATGGTGCATGAGCACAAAACACTAAATACACGACTCTGCAATCCTCCAGCACTTGATTGTAACATTTGCTGATACTTTTCCCTTTACTTTCCATTCGGCTATCCTCTCTGTGCACCTTGCATCATGTTGCAGTGGCAACGTCTCACCCTGAACATGAAGTTGCTCTTAGGAAGAGAGTTTGACAGCTGCCGGGTGTGAACCAGATCCTTCAGGTAGTGACAGATTTCTTTGGCGGAGTCGTCCAGGATGGGGCAGATGAAGTGGTCTTCGTCATCGTCATCACTGGCGTTGGCGTCACTAAGGGAAGAGGCCCGCTTACAGGGGGCACCTCGTTGGACGGGGGGTCTCTTGGCGCTGCCCTCCTCGTCCATGCTGAACATCAGGTCATCGTCCATGATGTCTGCTGAAGTGTTGACAAGAGAGGAGACAGGAGTGTGAGTGGACTGAGAGGGCAGTCACGAGCATCGAGTGGAAAGCAGAGCCACATAAAGACAGTTTGGAGTTGAATCTCTGGCAGCCATGTTACATGTGTTCACAACAACACTGCAGCATGGCTACACAACATGTACACCTAATGCCATATGTGAGAAATGTATTTGTTATCTTAGAAGTAGCTGAAACTTGGATACCAAACTTACTATGCATAAAACAAAAGGCAATCAACATAAATTTTTTACGCTAATAATAATCATAATAATAATAATAATAATAATATTGCCCTGTGATTTTAAGCAATGCATGGTAAGTATCAAGCAATTTAGCTCACTAAATATATTTTAAATCAGCAAGTAAAAGCACTAATCTGCTCCACTGTGTCCAAAGTATTTGTGGCTTTGAGTTGACAGCTGTCAGGTGGAGCTGTATGCAGAACAAAGCACGATAAAGTTCCTGCTCCTGTTGAGAAAAATTCCCATAGAAATCATGCTGCAGCAACCATGTAGTACATTACATTACAGCATGCTTCAATACGATTTCCAAAACTATTAACTTATGTTTGCTCTATTGTCACCTGCTGTTAGATGCATGCGCGTTTGTTTAAATAAACAACCAACCTTATAGCCTGGACACACCTTTAATCGCTTTATCTTGACAGACTGTGATAGTGCAGCCAATAAGCTCGGTCTTCCTCCGTCTCACAGAAGCTAAACACACTGGATCGCAGGAGCTAAGTTACCGTTTAAAGCTCCTCCCAGACCTGACTGGTTCGGTCCTGGTTCTCCAGTGTATCCTGAAGGTCCGGGGACTTGCCTGGCAGCGGACTGTGTATCTTGTTACCGTCCACCACTGCGACGTCGGACCTCTGCACGTAGCACAGTGTTTTGTGACAGCCACAGCCCTGCCTCCTGCTACATTCAGGAAATAGCACATGCACATAAACGGACGTGGATGTGAACGAGGAGTCTATCGCGATCTAAAAAGACTTTCGAGTCAATTTAAACTAACGTTAACTGTTAGTTTCACCATTGTGCATTAAAAATATAAACACTAAATACAAAAATGGTCAGTGTTGTTATTTTAAAGCAGAAACGCGCGAAAGTGGTAGTTACGACAATGGAGGAGCATTTGAAAGCAGCTCGTGTTTTGCAATTGATGAATTAACGTTACAGCTAAGCTAACGGTAGTATGGATAAATAAATAAATAAAGTTAGCTGTGTAGAAAAAAAAACATGTGCTGTTACGTTAGATACCCTGGATACCGCTACCGTTATATATGAGGGATAACGTTAGTGTAACATGTGACACAAGGCAAACGAGCCGCCAAGAGAACTGATTTATCTGCAGCAGGTCGACGAATTTGCGTTGGGAGTTGACGCCAGACAGCTCAGCTAATGACAATTTAACTATGACGTTAAAACATTCATATGAATGAATGGAGCTAATCAATATAAGGTAGCTGTAGCGTTGACTAAGCAGCAGTGTTTGTAGTGTTTGTAACCTCCCCTAAACTATTTTACGCTTTGTTTATACTCGCGCGAGATATTCGCCTGGGATGTCCCAACGTTCCTGTGTGACGTTATAAGCGTTGCTTACCAGTAGAGTTAGCTTACGTTAACGTTTAGCGGGGATTATTAAATAAAAGTGATAACCTCCATTACATTATTTAGCTGTCATTATTATGAAACAAACGATATGTTAAACGGGACAACACGGCTAATCTGTACGGCACTCGCCATAACCAGCAACTTACATTGTAGACGTCAGTTGCTGAAAATGAGATCATATAAATTGTTAGGTCCCTCTTTCCATAGGAGTGTGGTAGCGTGGCCGAGTGGTCTAAGGCGCTGGATTTAGGCTCCAGTCATTTCGATGGCGTGGGTTCGAATCCCACCGCTGCCAGCATAATTTTTGCTTCAAATACTAGCGATAAACAACATCACACATACACCCCTGAATAGATTTAGTTTAAACGTTTATAAGATAGACAACACACAAAAGGCTTTTCCTCTTGTCCGTTTCTACCAAAATACACTACATAGCAGTAATGCCATCTTGTGGCAGTAGGGTTACTGCAAATATTTCGGCAGAAAATCTCACTCATAGTGAGATAGAGATTAAGAAAACAGATAGTGGTGTGCTGCTCATATTCAGACGGTTTTCCAATTAATAGGCCTAGGGGTTGGGTCACCAACCATAAACTGCAGCATCCCAGGTTCAAGTCCAGCTGGGGATCTTTGTTGTATGTCATTTCTCTGATAAAAGTATAATAAAATATAAAAAGTAAAGTAAAATAGTGAGTAAAATATACTTCACAAAATACTTACACTAAAAATATAAACAAAGAACAAAACAAGAGAAAGTGGTTTATCAAATTTAATGAATACGAATTGCCAGACAACTGAATTGAATTAAATTAGTAATGATACAAAAATGTCCGCTATCCAAAGTGACTCCAGTTATATTTGTCCCATGTTGGACATCCTTTAGTGTTTTTCTAGATTAGTCTGTGTCCATCTTCTATGATCAGTCCTAGCGATCACACCGCACATCTCGGTAAGTATCAGGTGTCACTTTGCCCTGAGTACTGAGAAACCACAAATTGCATTTTCTGGATGGCCAGCTTGGTATCTTCAGGGGATATCTCAAGATGCCATACAGCCCGAACCGAATTTCCAAAATGGGGGTACATGAGAACTTGTATCCCCTGTCCCAGTGCAGCCTCTTCTCCCTCGTTAACCTGCCCCATGCGGGCGCAGAACTCAGCGGGACTTAAACTGGGGTCCTGTAGACGGAAACGCAGGATGTTTGTCTCCACGGCCGCCATGTCTACAGCGAATAGAGAACTGTCACAGTCGAGCAGAGCTGGGAGAGGTGAAGAAACAAGAAGTAGTTACAACCAGGACTACAATGGCAGCAAGTTAATGATTTAACTTTCATAGACAGAAATACAAGCTACTCACCTCGAGCAAAGGTTTTTGCATTGCGGTGATCTTCCTCCAGTCTTCCCACCATCTCCAGTAAAGACAGTTTCCCAGCTGCTGCTAATATACCAGCCTGGCGCATCCCCCCACCCAGGGCTTTACGGCACCGTACTGCCCGGGATATGAAGTCTTGGGGTCCAGCCAGCATGGTTCCCACAGGGGCACCCAAACCCTGTTATACACCATAATGTGAATTTGTATGATGAAGTATGTCCGAGTCCACTAAGTGCGTCTGTGTGTTTGTGTTTTGCAGTCCCACCTTGGAGAGGCACACACTGACGGTGTGTGTGTGCTGCAGTATGGTAGATGGAGGCAACCCCTGGGCCACAGCGGCGTTCATCACCCTGGCGCCATCCATGTGAACTGACAGACCATATCTATCTGCTAAATCACGAACCTTGGAGACGGAAATAAATCATCCAATGATGATCAAACCGTTGAGAGCAGCTGTATTCCCCATTCTGTCGCGGTAAGGCAAGTATCACAGCTGCTTTCACACATCGACATATAGAAATTTTTCTATCAGCATGAGCTTTGCTACGGAGCACCACAAGATGAAAACACATCAACACACACCTCCTGCAGGAAGGTCAGAGGCAGCACACGTCCTCCCTGTATGTTGTGCGTGTTCTCCACACATATGAGGCGTGAACGGGGGTAGTGGGGGTCGGGGTAACCGTGGCGGATCTTCGATTCCAGCTGCTCCATGTCAAATGTTCCATCGGGGAGGTTGGGCACCGTGGTGGCGTGGACACCAGCCAGCTGTGTCAACACACAATTACACATTGAATGCACTGCAGATGATGTGGAAAGAGATGCAGAGGGCCCAATCACAGGGGTCTCTGGTCCACTCACCTGCGCGCTCCCTCCTTGCTCATAGATGTGTAAATGGGACAAATCGCCCACAATCATCTCGTCGCCCCGCTCCCTGCAGTGCACCATCACTGCATGATGAAATGAGTACACATTTATGACCATTCAGACCTCGTAAGACTATTAATTCAGACTCTGACAATAATTGCTCAGTTCACCTGCGATGAGATTACTCATGGTTCCAGAGGGAACGAACAGTGCGGCCTCCATCCGAAACATATCAGCGGCAATTTTCTGTAACTCTGCAGAAATTCATTCAATATTTATAGGTTTAGGTGGCATTTCTCAAGTAAAGATGCAGGTGGGCAAGCATTTACATTGAACCAAATTCTTCTCTGACTTTCGAATTGTGTAGTGAGCTCCGTGCTACTTCTCTATGCTAGAGGGGTGTCATAAAGCCAATTGTGAAGCACTTTGAGGCAAATTAGTAAATTTGGGCAATATCAATAAAATTAACCTGACTATTTGGATAACTCCTAGGCTTTATCAACACACTTTTTAACTTGGTACAATAGGAAGACGCTCTACTTAAGGGAACACAAAAATAACTAAAGTGTGCATGTGCATAATATGTAATTAATTCATACATATATATATATACACATACACAAACAAACAAAAAACAATATCATCATTCAGTAACCTGTCAATTAACATTGGGTCAGTGAGTTAATTGAAAACTCATTGCTGACTCGTTTTAAAATAAAAGCTTGTGTGAATTTGCTTTTGTGTTTGATAAATAATGTTTAATGACATCAGTAATGACATTACTTGTCTGTGCAAATCTTGTGGCAAGAAAAGAAGGAAAAAAATTGTAAATCAGGTCTTTGATATTATGCAGATGCATCATTGCATATTTATTACTAGTTTAATAATATCTAATCAGAATAGACATTACACCCATAATAAAAAACATACATGTAGTAAACACATTATATTCTGATTAGTTATCTCTCATGCAGTTTCAATACATCTACTCTAGTCATTAATAGTTATAAGGAACTACTTTTTAACTATTCATAGATAACTTAGTTCCTGCTTTTCTCCTTGTTGTAGTGAAGTACGGTCTCACGGCTCGGCTCTAACCGTTAACTGTCGGGTCTTCTCCCATCACGTCATCTCCAACCTCGGCCTCCGCCATGGCCTTCCGCATCCCCGGCCCAGGCTTGGTCACCGTGTCGCTGCGGAGGTCCACCACCCGGACGTGGGCCGCCCCGCCCGGTCCCGTACACCTGGGTTTACCGGTGTTGTAGTAGCCCCGCGCGGAGCTTCGTCCCTGCACGGCGGCTGCTGCATCTCGTGCATTTGAAGCGACGACACCGTGGTTGAAACATTTAAACAAAACCCTACAGGTAAATCTTCTCAAAGACATGATGCACCATGTTCATTGATGGTGTTTCTGTCGTGCACTTTGGATCGTTCACTTCGTAATCGATAATCATTTACTGCAAGGAAAGTTAATGGATGACCTATCCGCCCATCAACGTGCACAGAGCAGTGTGGACGTCAAGGTGGCGCCATTATCCCAATAAAGCTGATTATACTGCACATGAACACCGAAAAATATGTGAATGCTCTGTTCCAGTGCAACTATTGTCATTTCTGAACTGTAGCCTAATTGTTAACATAATACAGGGAATTAAAATCTCATTTACATAACCGTATTTCTTTCATTTAAACATTGAATACAAAATAACAGGGTGACTACAGTCTAAAGCAGTCCATAACAATAGATCAGCAGGCTAGAATGTGTGTTCAAGACCTGAACACTGTTGCAAGATTATTGTACTGGATCCCAATAAACTGTATGGGTGATCATTTTTATCTTATCATCTTGATTAATTGATTGGTCTACAAAAAATCATCACCATCACAATAGTCTAGAAGACAAGGTGAGGTCTTTAAAGGTCTTGTTATGTCCAACCAAAGATATTCAGTTTACCATGATGTAAAACTGAGTTGATAGAAAAACTGACACATTTGAGAACATGGAACCATCAAATCATTGATTTGGTTGATTACCAAGTAGGTTTTCACATAAAGAGGAATTAGTCTTGGTGTTGTTGTGCATAACAGTCTGTAACAGTCTGTATTTAAAGTAGGAGAACTGCAAAAAGGTAATCTAAATAATAACAACAGGAATTTACATTAAAAAAAATATATCGTATGAGGAGCTGTACAGGGATTAAAACAAAGAAAATTATATGTGCAAATGTTCATAGTATAAAGAATAAAGGCATTGTGGAAATAAACAGGTGGAGATTAACTGTGGATCAAAAAAGTTGTTTAATTGATCATTGCAGCTCTAGTGTATATTCAGATACTCATGTGAAGCGTTGGTGTACTGGGGGGTACTTACAATGGAAACAATATTTTCATGTGTTTTTCTTCTTTTCAGTTTTGAATATTGAATATTCAGATAGAAATGGATCATCTTGCGCTGACACAATGGCTGTCTTAATTTTTTGCTTTTCTCTCAAAACATTCTCAGATACATTCCTTTACTTTCTCACAGTAAAATTAATTATTTCTGTTTCCAACAATCAGTACATTTTAGTTTTA